AGTATGTGATTGAAATATATCTGTCATCACAAATTACTGCTTCGTGCTAGGGCTGAAGTATTGGGACCTGCGTTGACATTGGGTGCATAATACAGCCTTCAACACTGCTATTAGACGTTCTCTCTTGAGTTAAAGGGTTTTGCTCTTTGTTAGTGCAAAGAACACCTTGATAAACACCTAGGTACAAATATACATTCTATTGTTCCCTGCTCCCCAAGCGGAAAAAGATGACGACACAAAAGATGATGGAGATGGTAAGACTGACCCTATTATTTCGCTCTTGCTTAAAACATGTGCGAATGGATTTTCTTCTACGCCCTGGACGAAATTTTCGAAATACCTCGGGTGCTCTCCAATAATGTTTGCAAGAGCTGACCTAACTACCTATCTGAAAACGGTCATGGCCATTTTCCCAGCTAAATGGCAGGTAGCCATCTACGCTATCAATCTCATATACTAGTACTCGGATAAGTCACAGTTTGGCAATTGCAGCAGTTGCAATATCGCGCCAATAGCAGTAGCAATAGCTGTAGTAATAGGGCTTGCATTGCTAAGCTGCGGCAGTAGTTGTAGTGATCGTAGCAGTTAAGAAACAGCAAGCCTTTATTCTCCCAATACTTATTGATGAGTAGTTTTAGAGCAATTTTGGTTTGATGCCAATGCGTAAGCAGTTACAGGTAAAGGGAAAAATAAGACCAAACTCTCTGTATAAGGATCTGTCTAGTTATCATTTAGGAACTGCCTAAGTCTTCTTTTTTGTCCCCCTCAGACGACAAGGGTGAAGACAAAGTAGATGGTCACGGTAAGACCATGAACCCATCAATGCCCTATCGCTGTACCCGATTGAATGTCTGTACTAAATAAATCGCGAGTGGTGACAACCACTCCCTCAATGGCTATCAACGGATAAAGCACTTTGTGGGCCTCGAAAATGCACATAGAACCCGCATTTCCATACGTCCTTTTTAAACGTTAAATCAAAACTTGTTTGTGGGAACGATTTGTCTCGGCGGATCAAGCTGTGACATCTTTCCCATTTTTATGTCGAATTTTTCTTCATGCAACGTAGACGAGTCTGAAGAAGCCGATAAGGAAGATGAGGGTAAGACGTGTTATGATTAATGTCCTTCTCACAGACATGTGCTTCTTCACCCTGAGAAGCTTGGGTAGCTTCCCTTTAAGCAAAGGTGCCACTTTCTTTTAACTCATACTTTCCTTTGATACGGTTCTCTTCTGAGCCACTGTGCCACATGCATGATTCTTTCCACCCTGACCTTTCTCTGCAAGAGTGGACCAATCATGGCCAACAAGCTTCTTCCCATCCGTTAGCTGTCTTTGTTGACCCCTGTTTTGCTGCTTGACCTCTCTCCACAGAGAAAATATAGAAGAAAAGCATGGTATGTAATGCCAACGGGAACATAGCGTTTCTGTTGGCAACATATTGAAATATTGACTTACTTTCCCACTACCTTTGCTTTTCTGTACCATACCCAATGATATATTTATGCCACTTTTCCTTTTCAGTGCTTTTTAGAATACGGCTCCGGTTGCTTAGCACTACTGTACTCACGCATATGTTTATTATCTCTCTGGTTGAGACCACCGCTTCGTGTATTATTTTTTGAGCACAATAATTCTATCTAACATGGAAAAATGATGTGCCATAACCTGAAGAGGGGATATCGTTTTCGCGATTTCTGCTTCGCCTTACACAGAACTGCCCTTCTGACAGAAAACCACATTGCAATCAGCCACCCAGCAATGCGCTTCTGTACTGACTGCTGTTCTACAGTTTGACATGTGTGAATTCGCTTGGCCTGCACCGTATATCCATTTGAACTTGTGTTTGTACTTTTGTTGATTTTATATGTTTCTAATCAATAAAACATGGTTTTCTTAACGATATATCTCACACATAACCTTACTCTGTTATATTGATATGTTTATGTACACTTTTATGTTTGTATCTCTTCGAGGAGAACGTTTTTAAAAACGCTAGAGGAACAGACGTTCCTCAGAATTTCGACAGCAATTTCGATATTGAATGGACTATACAATGGCAAAAATGAACTTAAAGAGTTGGACTGAAAGTAAGACGAAATTGAACGCTTTTCGAAACAGGAAGAAGCTTGAAGGAGGTCGTTGACAGCCAGGAGAGATCGCCCGCCAAATCGTCGTCTGCTCCCCACGCCGCAGTCGTCACCAAGACCATCACAAAAACCATCGTTCAGTCCGTGCCCAAGCTCATTGGTGGAGGTAAGTGTGACGTAGTCATCACGTGATGTTGTTTCTCCTTGGTTTCTCTGTTGCTTAGATTTTTTTGTGTTTTAGCATGACAATAGTACGTGGATGGACCTGGTGTTCTTCAGGTAAGATTTGTCACTGTAATCCCCCAGTACAGATGACATCCCCGTTTCTTGAAGTTTTGTCCAAACCGACTTGCACGAGGAGGCCTAAAGGGTAGCAAACTGAGGAAAAAGTCTTCCCCTGGCTTTACTCCCTAGCCTTATTAGTATTCAGCATCCTAGTTAGGCTTGTAAAATCTGGCTTGTAAAATAATCACATTTCAGAGAATAGTAAATATTTACCCGAAGTCTTTGGAAATTTTCTAATAGTAGAACGTAAAGGCTAAAGGCTTTTAAAATGTACTTTGACCACAGTGACATCTACTGATGAAAAATGTAGGAAGGTCTGACGATTCCGTAATACTGTCTGACGTTCCTTCCGTTCATGTGAATTTGTATCGAGCGCACCACCTCTTTAGTATTATTCGGTGACTAATTTGTATTGGCATTCCTCGCTTCTAATTCAATACCTGGTGAAAGAATACCCCGGGATGAAAGTGTCAGAGATGATAATATGACACATACACATGACAGTCCAGGTTTGGAAATGTCGCGTGACCATGGGCTGTGTGGCCTCCAGTAAATGACTTAAATTGAAACAGAAAGATGCTACGTCTGCATTTCTGCCCTTCAAGTGACTTTGTACATAATTGATGGGTATTGAGTGTGTTTTCTGTTCTCAGCGGATTTAAGACGAGCAGATAAAGCCTACCGTAAACTGCTACCTACAGGTACATCTGTATCACCAAAATCCTGAGAAAAAGTCATCAGTCAAGCAGCAATAAAAGCCAGCATTAACATCCATCGTTAATCGTACATACTAGCATTATGATCACTATATGACTTCATATTGAAGTTTATAATATCATACACAAGGCAAGGGGGTTAACTTAACAAATTAAAAACTTGGGGCCAATTGTGAAGGCAGAGTTTGGGGGCAGTACGAGGACCAAAAGTACTAGTATAATGATGTACAAATTTGAGAGAGGGGTGGTCTTGCTTTAAGGGAAGTAAACCAACATCAGGCTCTCTTACAGTTGATAGATGCTGACAGATAGGTGGACAGGTAGACTCCAGCTCTACCGATAAATATTCAACATGATCTGTCACGTGACAGCTTATACTGCCAAGAAATGTCTCAAATCTGAAGTGCAGATAGGTCTTCAGATTAAATTCAGTGGTTACACTTAAAGATTGTCTTGAAATAGAGCATGCGGAATTAGGCATTTATCTTTTTCCAGAGCGTGCATGATGTTATGACATGAATACGGTCCACAACCAACTACACTCTCACATCACTAGCTAAACGGTCTCTGTCACCGCCAGACTACCCGGCTCCCTCCCAACAACCGCCGGGTCTCTTTACGATCCAACATGCAGCTTACCGGCCAACGTGCACGGGGAGTTTTAGGAATGGTGGGATGACGTGGGGAATGGCTGGATGTTGAGGTGATATTTGGGTGTTAGGGAGGGGAGGGAACCATGACTGGCCCCCTGCTCTGTAAAGTTGGCACCAACTCAGACTGGATTTCTGTCGTAACGTCACGTCCGCATGGTCCTCATGGGATCAGACCAAACCTGTCTAAATATTTGCCCTGTATGTGAATCACATCGATATTTCGGGAGGGAGGTTCTGGAAAATATTTATCTTGACTTGGCGTTTCGACTTCTACTTTGTGAGACCGCGTGGAACGCTATTGGTTCTGGAGGACGCGGAGGAATGTCGCCAAGGACGGAGTCGTGATGGTGTCGGGGCTGAAACATTGCGTCTGAAATAAGAGCATTTAATTTGTCTGGACCTTTCAAAGGGCGTTGTGTCTGTGAACCGTATTGAATTTTATTCCACAACAAATGCTCTTTTTACTTTTTCAAGCATAACGCCCTCAAAGAGAGAGAGAGGCTTTCATGATGGCAGCTATGTGTGTAATTGTAAGGGAGTACAGTAATCATCTTACGTAAATTTTTCATTAATCGAGCGCAAAGCATCCTGGGTATATTTAAGTCGGAGCTGGGTTTATGATTAAAATAAAGCTGTCTGGAGAGTTTATGACAAGGCGTAAATTCTTCTTGCAGATACTGGACATTTAACCACCGAAGTGTGAAAATAAAACGAACCCTTGGCATGGCGAACGTGTTTCTCGACCACATCCGGGAAGTTGAATTACGCGTGCTTTGGCCCGAGTCTGCGTGTAAAGTTTCCAGATTCAACAGACGCTTTCTAGGAAATGACTTCCAGATGTAGCATAGTCTTCAAAAACCAACACGCCATCCGGATGTTTAAAGTTTTATTTGGTCATGATGTTCCCCAAATTCGGCCATTCAGTACTTTCGCATTAAGCAAATTGAAGTACACGTTCAATGCCATACCTCGCTGAACCCATTACTGTAATGACCTCTCACAAAATTGTGTTCTGTCTGTTTGGGTCGCTGTGTACGTGACACATTAAAACAATGGCGACGGCAGGCTGGTACAAGTGGTGTTGCACCTAGCGCCTGGGGAGGAGTATAAAAATTGAACACCAGACGAAATCAAAAGGGCGTTTTCGTGACTTCAAACTTGGACGAATTACTGATTAAAAAGGCAGGACACTGCGGCTTACTGATATATCAGCCATGATTCCTGGCATAAATCCAATCAAAGAATTACTAACATGTCCACGGAATCTAACTCAGACGGATATACAGACGGTAAAACACACGCAAGGGGTTATCGACAAACCGTGAACTTCAATCGAAATTTGAAAAATGCTAATTGCTAATCCAATCATGGGTCTGTGATGCATGGGGTGTATTTTAGGGGAGTGTACGTAGATGTCTAGCGGGATGAAAGCAATTTTCCGCTCAAGTATTCGTTGTTTCTGGCAGAGTCATTCAGGGACAGGTTTAGACGCCATCCCCATATAAATAGACGCTTGCAACTTGGAACGCCAAGTTGGTTGTGAAAGATGTCATTTGAAGGGCATGTGAAAATACAAATATTATTTTAGATAGACCGCTGCTATGTCTTGCGCCAATTTTGCTAACGTACTTCTTGATAACATCAGCTCTATTTGAGAAGTGTTTCACCTACCCAAGCAGGTTTGACCTGTAATGGTTCTTAAAGTATGCTTAAAATCTGACACTCAACTATTGCAAAGTTGACATTTCTGTTATATTTCCTATGCCCAACGAAATTGTCGACGTGTAATACCCTGTATCTGTCGTGGAAAGGGGCCCGGCTAGAGGTGTCTTAGTCCTTGAGAGGGTTATTGGTGCAAACTGAAAGACCTCATGCTAGATATGCCATGTACGCTACTGTCATTTAGCTTCCATTATTATTCGACTGTCACAAATTGATAAGCTACTCTTATCGTTTGGGTAACCTCCATCCAACCCTGGAAATGTCGTTCACATCTGAGTTCCCGTCAGGCGGAAGGTTGCTCAGCCTTTCACGGTAAATCCTATATTTCCCAGTCTATTAGTACGTCAGGTTGGTGCACCATGGCACCAAAGTCACCTCACGTCTCTCTATAATCCTCCCTTATTCCGACCTATTTCTTGATGCCCTGCATTTGTACGTCGGCCCCTAAAAACCACTTAACCCATTTCCTTTCCCACCGTGAATTACTTAGTATTCTGGCAGAGACTTTCGCTGCCAGTGACAATGACGAATAGCGGTCTTGTGTGGAAAATCGTCCCTTGGAAATAGCCTAGGTGCCAGGCTGTTTCCAGGAACTAAAATTTCCTTTGGGGCGTGTTGATGCCTGGAACCTTGGAGCTGGTCAGGGTACGCCCTGGAAACAGTCTACAATGTAGTATCCAGCTGCGTGGCAGCACCAAGCTAACCTGGCCACCAGAGCTACAGTCTGGTTTTCCTCGGAGCTGTAAGCTGCTACCCCCGCCTGGCCACCTAAGCCCACCCGGGGATATTTTAAAACAATCAACAGCCCTGTTGCTAAGGGTCTCCATCATGGGTACTGAGACGAAATTTCCTCTGGAACTTGTAGGCCCTGTGTGTGAGGGCCCTGGCAACAGTCTAGATTCCAGGTTAGTGCTCAGCTCGCTGAACAAGCGCTGGGTACAGAATCTGAAGTCACCAGATCTATCTAACTACAAATCTCACGTTTGCTGCCCATTCGATTGGATAAGATTGGAGGCAGTTTACATGAATAGGCAATTATGACCTAATACCTCGCCATCTTGGATATCTGCTACGTATTCATGGAGGCTATTCCTCGGGCAGGTGGTTGTGCGAATTCGGCACCTCCTCGACCTGTTCAAAAGGGTTGGGCACAGGTGTTACATATGGGGGAGGGCGTTTTGAAAGAGGCAGTTGAAATTGAATTGCAAAAACAATTTGTTGCCCTGGGATACGATTTGTCCATGGTAATAAAAGCATTATCGGTTTCCTTTTTGCTATACTGCTCGGCATGTAAGTAGGGCTCTCGCCTCCTGTGGATTGCTAATCAGGTCATAAAGGGACTGTTATGTTTGTTGGGATGTAATTTAACAAAATGAGACCGCTTGATGGAGTGCAACACCACGTTTCGTACATCTGTATATATGCATGACCAAGAGGTCACTGAACTAAAGTAAGCTGCCAGTGCCCTTCACGCCGCCATATTGGTCCTGCCCGACAAAAGTAGACTGTAGGACATGCACGTTTTGACAGGGGTGACCCAGAATGGCGTCTAACGTCCCCTGTCTGTGATGCTGCATAGTTGTCAGTCCTCCCATCTGTCGGACCACGCCCACCATCTGCCTGGCATGCCGGCAGTCAGCTCTGGCCACGTACATCCAGAATTTCGATTCCCAAAATTGACCACAGGGATTGGCGGGTTGCGCTGCGTGCCAAAACCTTCTGCCGCATTGCACCACAAGTTTCGGCCGTAAAATATCCAGGCGGAATGGTGAGAAATGGGAGAGTGCTCGGGTCACGTGAAGAACTCGGAGGATATCGAGCGCCCATGCTTAGGGTGATGACAAGGTCATGCCTTCTGTGACCTCTCCAAGGGTTCCTCCATGACCCCATTACAAACGTACGGACCCTGATATATTGACATGTAAGCCCAAATCAGCTCCAGCGCACTCCCAGTTCCCCGTCCCAGAACCGGTCACGTATGTGGATCTAAATAGCGATCGATCCCAGTAAGTCTTTATCTGAAACGAGACATGATGTGTGACTGCCATTTTATTTCCTTTAGAAGGATCACAGGGGCCACTGGCCCCCGCTGGATGGTGCGGTACTGCTAAAACGCGTATTTGACATAGATTTTTAGCATAGCTTAGATGTAATCGATGAGGACTTTTAGAACAACAGTTCCTATTTGTACCATCACCGAGGACGTACTAAATACAGCACTGATAAATTACAACTCATCAAAATTTTCTGGGGTAAAAGGGGAGGAAATCTCACCCAAACAAGATTATGTTTTTATCAATAATTTTCTACCCTTTCCTGTGTGAATCCGTCTCCATTTTACCCCCATTTGTTTGTCGTATATGTTTATTTCATCCCATCGTCCATCCACCATACTGTGCACATACTAAGGCCACATGGTATAATGACGCACCGTGCGGGATTAAACTGACCTGCATGTGTATGTCTGTTGCCCTCCTCAGATACTTTTTTCGTGCATGATTGTTAAAAGCTTAAACAACATAACGTCGTCTTTACCGTCGTATTAAAAGACGATTAAGTATATAGTCAAGCTTTGAATATAATTGCAGAGTCTTGTCTTGAAAAGTATTTAAAAAATTCCAGGTAGCTTCCTTATGATTAGTGACTATGGATCATCTCAGAAGTCACAAGAATTTGAATACTTACTTGTCTAGTATTCTCTGTATAGAGATACATATTTTTTTTCTGTATGTGAATGTAGTGTGGATTTCATAATCTATCTACAGATTTTGTTCGAGGTATTTCAACATACATTGTATTGGAGTGCAGTGAAATACCATTTCCCTATTTTTCAGGACAAGACGCTGTCACAAGAATGCGTAAATTACAGTAGACATTTTTATACGCTATTGCTGACGTATTCTGCTATACTCCCCATGCCTGTACCCAGGATGGACACTACTGTTCAAGGCCGTGTCAGAGACCGGTGGACCCGTGTTCTCTCACTGGGAGACCGAGGGCAAGACCAACGAGCCCACGGGCGAGCCCGTGCGGCTGGATGTTGCCGATCCCTACCGTTACAAGAGCAGTATCATCGACAACTGGGAACAATACAGTATACAGGAGGTAACTCTTAGTTTGACTTCATGAAAGATTAAATAGGAAAAGACAAGAGCACAGGATGTGTCTACAACCTTCAAAAACAGGATGATTTATGTTTAAACGTCTTCCTACCACTATTGTTGTTCCATGAAGTTCATGATCGTGTTATTGGTCTTCATGATATTTCTTTCAAATGAATGAAATGAAATGAATGAAAAAGTTATTGTGAAGAGATTAGCTTCAAAACAAAATTAGAAAAAACAGAGCAAGATTGTGGGACACGGGAACCCAAGAGACAAAGATACATGTTGCCTGACCGTCGGTTAAACTGCATGGATTTTGTTTCTCTGTACAACAGGTCAAGGTGGTGCTGTACAAGGATAACGAGGAGGTGCTGGTCCTGCGCTTTGACGCCGAGGGAACCAACAAGTCCGACTGGTACAGCCAGGACCGTCTCATCGAGTCTCCCTTCATCGATCTCTCTCCAGACAAGAAGGCCAACGGCTTCTCCTTCCAGGGACAGAGAGACGGCAAGATCGCCAGGTAAGATCCGTGATCACCTCGGTACCGGGAGTGTTACTGCCCGCCGAGGTCTACCAGTGTGCTCTGGGGAATTTTTTACGTGGTGGGGTTCAGTTACTTCACGTGTCTATAATGATAAAGGTAGACTGTCAGAATTCAAGTAGATAACGCCAACTATAGCTGGACTGATACAACTCCCGGTGTTCATCACAAGCATGGATGATCGTATTAAGTCCATTTACTGAATAGTGCCCCTCATGCAGACCATTTTTCGTATCTGGAAATTAAAACTACACCCTTTTAATATCCCCTTGTACCAGGACCATGTTCATCGATGGCGGTGTAGACCATGGGTGGTTCGTAGTCATCGACAAGCCAGACAACGCGCCTTGGGCCAAGAAGGCAGCTGTTCCCCACTTCCTGTATTCCACAACTGACCAGTGCGTCAACTGGAACGATGGTGAGTACCAAACAAAACCAAAGCCTACATAGAATTTCTGCGAAAGCATTTCAGCACCAAGGACAGAGCAGCATAAATGGTCGTTGGGTTCAGAAGTAGCATTGCTAATCCTCTACTACATAGTATATTGTATTGGGCGCTTCTTTAATCTCTCCAGAGATTTAGAACAGTCTATTGTGTCCACACCTTGGGGCAGGGACTGCTGTAGACAGGAGAAAGTGTTGATGCTGGTGTGGCTACAACTATGCGTTTTCTACTATTTCAATATATTTACTATTCTTAAGAATGGAATTTACTGCTCGAAGCTGATCACTGAGTATCAGGAAATAAATTTCCCAATCTGAAATTGTTTCAGTTGTCATTTTTTTAATCTTCTAATTTTCTCTTTTCCAGCTCCAAACGTCGGGCAGGCTGACGTTTTGGCAATCTTTGCTCTCGGATTCGGCGCAAATGACGAAGAAGAGGAAGATTAGAAACCAAGTAAGTAGTCCTGAAAGTAGCTTATAAGTTATATCACTATAAGAATATTGATATGCATCTATTTTACTGTTCGCCCTGCTCTCAACCAAGGGGGGATTACACACAATAATCATGGGAGCAAATCCATTTGTAAATTGTGCATGTGATCTGGATATATATTCATGAATTGAACAATAAGCAACAGTACTATATCTAAAAACCGTGTGACGATGAAACATGAATATTTTTTTTTCAGAATTGCAGTATTCACTTCAGAGATGCCACATGGGGGGATTGGAACCACAGCGACTGTAAAGGATTCAAGGCATGGGCTTCACAAAGTTGCCAACAACAACAACGAAACTAAACATACTGACACACAGCCATGACGACTCAAAGCAGCTTGAAATTATACAAAAGCAGCCATCACAAAGGTGATTCAGAGATTATCTATGGGAGGGAAACCGCCTTGTCATAAGGAAATATTTCCAACAAACTCCTCACATAGTTGATTACTGCGTACAAAACAGCGTAGACAACGTTTAGTTTAGGAGACCAAATGGTGTAACTGTAACTCATGAGCCACACATGGGCGACCTGTTAGAGACAAGTTGGACTTATTTCCTACAAAAGCCTGAAAGGATGGAATTTCAACGGGGATATAAAGAAATAACGACTGTTAACATCTTTACACGGGTCATGGTTGAAACTAAAGTTTACAGGACTGTGAAATATGACCAGAAACTGACCTGACCACCTCTGCTAGCTTCCGATGCTCTGCTTATACTCGCTTGATCTCTGTGCATGAGTAGTAGGTAGGTGGGCTACAAAGTCGGCATTTCAAAAACTTTGTCATTATTCATGTTGAGATTCTATATTAATATCGGAGGATAGGAGGGTGGCCATGAAGAGAAGGCAAGTGAGACATTACGTGCGAAGGTTGTGTAGAGATGTAGCTTTTTAAGCAGAAGGAGAACGATTTGTAAACATGAGACAATGAGAAATAACAACAAGGCGGATTTCCTCCTGTATAGTTTCTTGGCATTACATCAACACAGAATGCTTGCTGATATTATAATACCTATGACAAAGAAAGTAGTCAGTGCTTTTAATAGACTCCACACAAGTGCAAGACAAATTTCTATGCTGTAGAGCAAATTTAGCGACTCTTGCTGCAAAGAAACCGCTGATGTAGAGTGTCAGGTAAAAGAATCTCTGAATCATAATAGGACAGGGACTCACTGTTAAAGAAACTCTTCCAAAGTGAGAGAACTTTCAGGTGCAGCTGCTTTCAAGTGTGGTGCTGGTTACGTAAATACCAACAACATTAAGAGAAAAAGTCAACTAGACTTCACTGCCTTATAAAATGTATGCTCATTTTCCTTGGCGAGTCCTGTTAGTCCTGCGGTATCTGGCACGAGTGGATTTCTTTTGTTGTGCCTTTTTCAAGTAGCATGCTAGAACTCCTACCCTAAGACTTGGGGGAGCAAGTGACAAATAAATGAATACCTGTGTAATAAATAAAAGGAATTGTGATTATGGCAATTAGTAGCTTTTCTGCGTACTGGAGTCAATCAAATGTTGTAGCTCTGTAGTAATGTTTATCATTAGACGATAGAAGTAACAAAATAACTAACGTTTTCATTGAGACTCGAAACTAACGATTAGCTTGCACAGTGCCGTTCGGTTATATTTGCAAGGTGATAGCCTCTACCTGCCTGTCATATCTAATGTAGATTCGCTGCTCGCTGCATTGCCAATTTGGGCTACCTACCTGGCAAGTATAGCAGGGGGTACTGCAAGCTAGAATTCCTATCATTGACAGTACTATAATTCATCTTCACTGCAATGGGTCCAGATCGCAATGAATGAAAGGATATAATAATACCAAGAATAACAATCTATTGCAAACGACATTCAAAGAATGTTCCAATTTACTCAGATCTCTATGTGCAGTGTCTCGGTGAAAATAAACGTGTCGTACTGGATAACAACACCCCACATTGTCCTTGCGGTTTTGTGTTTGTGTCGTGTCACTTTTTGTGTGTGAGGCACTTTCAGCGTAGGACACTGCTAGACTAGCACTGGGCATCACTGTGTATGCATGTTTGTGTTGATATGTTATGTCCCTGTGTGTAAGTGTGCATTCTTGTGGACAAATGTGTGTATGTATATGTGTGTGTGTGTGTGTGTGTGTGTGTGTGTGTGCGTGTGTGTGTGCTCTTTGTGGATAAAAAGTCAGGAACAGGATCGCGATATACTAGTACCAAAGACGTGTCAAATTCCACGTTCTTATGGTCTTGTGCAAAGGTCTAAGAGTAATATTATAATAGTGTAAACCCATCAAGCCAAATAACCCTAAAAATTCCTACACAACCTTTGAAGCAGACCTGGCAACATAACAAGATTAAAACATCCAACATCAAGGGAGACTTATGTGAAAGAGGCAAGCATTTAAAAGTCCACAAAGAATTTGAAAACTAAAGGCAACGAGCATATGCATCCATAAATTACAGCAAAATCAAAGATGGAGATCAATCTGCATTTCTGGTGTAATCTCTCGTTTATTCACTGATCCCTTGTAACTCATTTATCTACGTACAAACCCATCCCTCCTACCCACAATCATACATGGTTGTCTTCAACTTTCCTGCTTCTTGCATTATAACATAAGATGCTTCAATGTGTGACTGACAGAAATGACAACAGGCCATGTTTCTGAACTAACGTTTGTAACTTAATGTCAACTGTTCAAGTATAAACCAACACTATATAAGTGACACACTATACAATCTGAGAGAAAGCTTTAGTTCACAAAATAGGATCTATTGATTAAAAGATGGTGAGGTCCTCAATGACACAACATGCATTAATAAATAAAAATGTCTCCACCACTGAGGCATTACAACAAAAAGACAATGCTAAGGCCGTTCCATGAAAAAAGAAAATTAAATATGGTCATAAATATCATAATTGGGTTCTCAATCAATTGTACTTTGTTGTCACTTCTGAAGGTGGTACTATTACCGGAACACATTTGTGTTAAGCTGAATAACCTGAACTGTAACTAAAGTAACTAAACCCGAATCAACAATATAAACAAGAACATAGTATTTCTTTCAGTTTCAAATGAATGCCACAAACTTTCTGGTACATTTGATCCACGGCTCAACACAACAGGTGTTCACAACCTGCATAAAGTGACATCATAGAAGCAGTGGATTTGCTCATTCCTTGGGAAAGACTGGTGTTGTTGTACCACTGAAGATTTGGGTACTTCCTATTCTTTGTGCTGGCTGTCTCAGTTTTCTCAAGATCCAATGAATTCTACCAACAAAGACGAACTAACTTTCAAACAAATACTTCGGTCACCTTTGTGGTGGATGCAATCTTAGGTAACACTGAGGAAAACTATCTATAAAATGAACGTATTGAATGTGACAAGTCAATTGAGCTAAACACACACAAGAACTATTTCACCTTCTATAATCTAATAAAATACATTCTTCACATAATAAATTTACATGATTACTTAGTGAACACCCGTTACATCAGATATTCCCACAGACAACAATACTGAAATAGTCTGTACAAATTTCATTGTCATACTGTACAAAAATAAATACTTCTATTGTTTTGTATTTGATATGGACAATACATGTATTCCGCCTAGTTTCCAAGCAAAGGGGCTTTTGAACATGCAATACCGGTAATTGTAAAATGTGTGCCATTTACATTGTTTAATGTATGACGTTTGGTACTGCATTATATAACACTTATATAAAGATTATATACTGTTGCACATATTTCTCTAGTTATTAAATCCTGATAAACACTGTTGAATGCATCATTTTAACACATTGCATCAGTTTCTTTGGCATCTCAAGTAAAATATGACAAAGTCTACATACCATTGCTCATGTTAATGTACATGTAGTAAAACAGCCTACAGTGGTTCTAAAGTAAGAATGAGTATTGCATGTTCAGGAGCCTGGAGATCCAAAGAGCCCAAACACCACCTCATTATTACTAGTACCATGCTCACACCTAACATTTGTCTCACTAAATGTTTTCACTTCTGATCAGAACCCGAGACATTGTCCTGAAGAGATAACTTACATCCTCCATGAGCAACTTTCTACCATGACCATGCTTACAAATGTAGATCTTATGTAAATGTTTACAGGAAAAGAAATTTCACTTCCAACTATGGCATATCCATTTGTATGACATTACAATTTCACTGCTCCCTAAATTGTCATATTTGGTGTGAGCATGGAGAGGAATGCAAAGTTGTTGTAACTTGAATTACATAGTCTGATTTTTTTGTGAATGTCTAAAGAATAAATTGCTGACAATTGGTACAAAATAATGAACTTTTGTAATAGGTAAACATCAGGACATGGTTTGGTTTGGTTTGGTTTGGTTTCACAATGACTGGTAATGACATCCAACTTTGCATTCCTCTTTGTTCTAGTCTGGCACAGGCCTTTTCATGGCTCCATATGTATGCTAGGAGACAAAGCACTATGGATGGCTTGAGGCAAACAACACCATTCCCATGTTAATGCATATACTGTGCAAGTGTACTGCATTCAGTCTAGTTTATGTTATCATGGCTATTATTTTGTTTGCCTCCTTAGCTACCCATAGTGCCCTGCATCTCCGAGCATGCAGTGGGCTCCATGAAAAGGTCTATTTTCTTTTGGCACGGGTTCAGCATGTCATCTCCATGGAGGATAGCCATAGCTGTACCTGTAGCCATTGTAGGTGGTGTTTGGAGGCTGGGCCTCTACTTTGACTTGGAAAGGGCGTGCTAGTCAATCTAGCGATATGACGTCCGGCTGTCCCGTACTGTGGGAGCGACTGCTGCTGCCTCCGCTACTGCTGCTCAGGGGGTCCAGGTACAGCGGCTGCCCAAACTGGAACAGAAAGAAAGGTGGAGTCAGGCACAAGTGCTCCAGTTGGATACTTTGTAAAGTTGGAAGTGCTGTACATGTAAAATGTACATGTACACTTTCTGTGATTTTCTTTCACTTTAGGCATTCTTCAGACCTACCAGTATCACATGGAGGTCCTGGTCTGTCCAGGAGCCTGATAGGTGATATTGTATACACCAACACCAAAACTGAAGGTACCGGTATACAAGTTACGCCAATTACTTATCAGTTACAGCTTGCAGTCAACAGATTTTATCAGTGGGAAATTATTAATGATTTAACATATGTGCCTACTGGGAGGGTTAAAATAAGACAAAACATGGAGGCATAGCGCACACAAATGTAGTCATCTTGTGGTCTCTAATGACTGCATGTGATACAGGAAGCATGTCTATTATGTACAGACAGAGCCTATTGGCAGCCACAAGCACATCAAACAAGCCACGTCTGCACTGCTGCAAAATCACAGGGTACAACCTACGTCATCCTAATCGCAGCAGCCGACCAACAAGCGGTTGTAGGTCGTCTACAATTCCCTCCTCATGGGCCCTTCAGGGGGTCAGGCGTAAACTAGCCTGACATAGTAATGGGTGGCAGAGTATCTAAGCATCAGGTGAAGCCAACAATCATCATCATGTCTTCAAACTAAGTGCAGACATGGGAGAGCACAGTTGTAGAGTGGTGACAGCTCACATTGAGGATATCTTCTTCTTCTTCTTCTTATCCGAGTTTTACGTCTATTGATTCCCCGAATCGGGGGTATAGACGTGCTTGCACGGGTGCATGTTTGGGCTTGTCATTTTGCCCCTCAGCATGCTGAGGTGCACAACAGCAAGCCTGTGCAAGACTTTTTTTGAAGCAAGGTTTTTACTGACTGGATGCTCTTCCTAACGTCAAACTCTAAAGTTTTTGACAGCTTTCAGAGACTGGCTGTATGAGGAAATGTGTGATATCAAGGTAAAGAATTGCACAATCCACATGTGAGGACAATTTTTGGCTTCAGACAATCCCAAGATACTCTGCCACCTTCCTGAATCACGGTACAAGAGGACACTGAGGACAACCTGCCACCGCTCGCTGTTCTGTTGCCACCATTTTGACGATGTAAGTTGTACCCCATAATAAAAGCGAGCTGATGGACATTTGTCCCACCTGAGTGTCATTTTGCAATAATGACAACAGATCCAGGCCTGGCATATGATGAGACTCGTGCTGCACAGGCAACAAAGAAGAACTTCATCTTCCAGTACTGTGCTTCACTTAAGTTATTACTGTGTGTCAAGACTCCTTACTTGATCCAAACACTCAAGTTATTAATTATTATCACTAACATGAAATACCAAGTTACACTGACTTTCACCAAGATTCATTAATGTTAATTACCTAACTCAGAGACAGAGATACAAAAGATTCATTAATGTTAATTACCTAACTCAGAGACAGAGATACAAAACAATAAACTGTAACTTATATCTGTCACAAGGCATATTATTTTTTTCATCCCTGAATTTCTCACATTTAGATTCACACTAAAAGCTGAGTATTGGATTCTTTTTATGATTCTGTGTGGAAAAATAAACACATACTTGTAATATATGTACAATGTATCTAGATATGCATTATGAAGAACATACGTACACATCAGGATCCAAATCTGTAAATACTTGCGGGATAAAAGTTATAGTTAGCCTGGTACATGGTACCATCCTGTTCTACCTCCATTCACTCCATTATCATTTTCCTCCCGAAAATGATGGCATCTTCACCATTTAAACATTTGACCCAAACAACTAGAGCTGCCATGTATATATAGATGCCAATCATTCCACTATGAACAGGTACCAGACTATCAGAAGAGCAAACTGCATCTGCAATAGCAGTTATTGGTGTTATCCTTTCAAAAATATCTTTACCTGGCTGTCATTTTGCAGCAGAGACAGTAGGTCCAATCCCGGCATGCCCTGGAACTCGGGTGGTAGTGGCGGCATCGGGTAGGATGGCATGAAGTCTGAAGACGACATCGGCATCGCGTATGGCTGTCGGGAATCCAACATGGACCTACTGTGTGCCCTGGGAGCTGGTGACGGCACTAGCTGAGGAGTGCTGAAAAGTTTTGACACATATCTTATAAACTTTGTGTTGTGGCAGCTTAGCAGTTATAATATAGACCTTTTAACTGATCCCATTGCATGGTGGGAGATGCACTGCACTATGGGTAGCACTGGGGGCAAACAACATTGTTTCTATGACAACGAACATGCAGTGCTCCTCATACTGCATCTGGTCCAGTCTAATACCGTCTATACTGTCTAGGTGGTGATTATGTTGTTTGCCACATGCACTACTCAGTTTCCTGAGTCTTCCAACATGCGATGGGATTTGTGAAAAGGTCTGTGTGTTGGCCAAATTCATAGCAAGTCTCTATCTTTCCAAAACTAATATGCTGTCTTTCTGTAATATGGAAAAACACAACATGTACGTCCTGGCATCCTGGTTCTGGCATATGGCTTCCTGGCACTGTCTAAAATTGTTATTCTATTGAAAGGCAACCTTGTGAAAGATATTGTATGTTTCTTCAGTGTTGGGAACTTGTCAATCACCTACTAGTATTACTACTTAACAGCCAACACATACAAATATACCAACCACAGCACCACCTAGTGAGAAAAAGCTCTAGTCATGATTGCCCTGAGGAGGGAGCAGGATTATCGAAACGTTGGCAGGTTACAACTTTGTAGTGTATTACAGAACTCCAGTATCCTTTGATTTACCAACCTGATGAAACTACTGTATTGATAAAAGTTTGAAATGTAGTTAGATATGTGTGTGGATGTATCAGTAGAGTTAAAGAAACCATGCATATGAGAGAACACATAAAGTCAACATGGACAATAAAACAAAAGAAAGTGAGGAGTAACATACATGTAGGAGGAATAGATGGGGGTGCACTTCCAAATAATGGTGATTGGCATGATAATCTAGTAGTGATAGTTAATCTAATTATCTTTTTCCAGGGGGATAATCAGACTCTTCTAATCCAATTGGGCATTTTCACTGGTCAATAGAGATGGACATGATAAACCCAACAGCTGTTTATCACACAGGTAATGTTATTAGGAGGAAAATTGATTTTTGTGAGGAGACACCTGGTTGGTAACATCTCCACTAGGACCTTGACCTTTCACAAGTCCTTCCAGGACAATAGGCAGGAATTTGTAGTTTCTAATTCCACATGAATGATAGAAATCTTTCTGACAGAAAGTTATGTTTCCGGAAGTAGCTAATCTAATTTCAACACTGGGTTGCCGGTAATTCAGTAACTAAAATCATCAAAATACATTGCCTTTTGGGAAACATTAATATCATTCAAACTCAATTAAGTTTTACTTGTAACTTCATTTCTTGTTTCTCGGTGTTTGGAGCAGCTATGCTATTTTGGATTGATTTGATCCACTATGCGACAAAGGAATGCCAGACCACGAAGGTGGATTGTTTTCAACATTTTTATTGCAAATGCCAACTAAGGTAACATTGGATGTAACAATGAACAATACACAGTTTTAATCTATTATTTTGCCCCAAAAGGAATAATAAAAAGTAATTTATGAGTGATCATAACACATTTCATTGATCAAAGGTAATTAAAAAAGAGAAGACGGAAAGATACATTGTACATGTACGAAAAGGTTCACAGAATGTTCCAAAACAAACACAGCTTCAAATGCACAAGACATGTAACAATGGATAACAAAGGACAATTAACATTTACAATTTACAGGTCCAATTCCTTACATTTGATATACATTATACCACCAAAATAAATTCCATTTTTCAATCTGAGAAATTGAAACAAGACATAAAGAAATAACTTCTTCTATGCTAAATAATTTGAAGAAATATTTATGCATGAAAATACCCTATCAATAATTGCAATATTTCACCAATACGACTTTATTGTTAAGTGGACTTTTTTTTAGAATTCATTTTTTACAAATTACTTTAATACATTTGCACCATGATTTAAAGAAAAAACAAATGATCATTTCTAACAGGGCAAAATCAATTTTCTTTCAAATTGTACTACCTCTACATTATGATAATCTCGAGTATGGACTGGTCAAGCCTTATGAAAGTTCAAGAAAATTTTAAGCATAAACAACAAAATGCCACAAAATATTGCCCCCAAAACAGACTATCAAATTTTTAAAGGAACAAACAAGATGGTTTCAGTATGTCTAATAAAGTTTAGTTTTCATGAGCCAAAGGATTTAAAGCAGATATTCTAGAAAAAAGGCAGACAAGGTCCCTTTAACATTGCCAAAACAATTACTGTACAATGTAGATGTTGGTAGGATAAAAACAAATGACAGGCCCAGAAAAGAAAGGAGGAGACAGATGATGTAGTAGCTAACTAAATGGCAAATTCATCGTCTGACATTTCACTTGAGCTACCCGAGACCACCGACAACTGCTTATGGTACAGGTTAGACGTAGATGTGGTGGAAGTGCGCATGTCATAGTCTTGGTAGGGGGAGTCAGGAACGGTATAGACAGGCCTGGGGGGCTCAAAACCAAACAAGTCCGTGTCTGACATGAAGTCACTCAGCCCAGACCTGCCTGGATCAGAGATGGACTGGAGTAACATTTGCCACAGGTCACGTTCAGGGGGGGAATGAAAGTCGCTGTTTCGTAGCACCTCGCGTTCTACCACTACATCGGAGTCATAGTTTGTGTTGACTGAACTCCGCGAGGCTTCTGACACCGAAAGATGGGAAGGCACGCACCCAGTGTCTTTGGTGGTGGGGATGACCGAGTCATCGTCGTCCTCGTCAGAACTGTCGTCCAGCGTGAGGTCGATGATCTCATACTTCTGTCTGTCCTGGGACGTAGACGCAGAGGCTGACGCCATGCTCAGGTCTGTAGTCATAGGGAAAAATAGTGGTCTAAGATTGGAGAGAAGCAATATAATGATATAAATATCATACACTGTACCACAGGATTACTTTTATTAGAATATCCCCATCCGTAATATTCACCTTAGCAGTTCCAGCATCCAATCAACAAATCTCAAAGGGAACAAAATACACATTTCACATTAATGCTTTAAGCCATGTTATTAATAAGTTTTTATAAGGATACCAAGCAAGATGATGAAGATGATGATCAACACATGCGTGCTTCATTAAAATGGAAAAGGAGTGAAAATACTGTATACAAAAGGTAAACTGAAGACTCATTTTCTTACAAACATGGGTAAACTGCAAAAGAACCCTGTGTTGCCAGCATCATAATTTGGTCTTAAGTTAACTATTATCTTGAATATGGACAAAAAAGGTTTATTGTTCGAAGTCAGCATCATCAAGGTCTTGACCAACTTGCTATGTTTCCACAACACCTGGTACGTCTCTACTTAGTGCAGCTGTATTGATGAGTTTACTTAGGCTCAAACAGATGACGTTGGATAGTATTAAATCAAACTGTCAAATTGCTTGTGGCACATGGGCTAATAACAGACATGGGTGCTGCTCTATACACCCCATGGTGTGTACAAGACTGACTGAACTAATGACCTGGATCCATACCTTCTGCCATGGACTTTGTTGGTGTTGTTACCAGGCAGGTTTCCCTCTGTGGCTTGATGGAGTGCCAGGATCCATCCTCGAAGAACTGGATCTCATTCAGCTCTGACGACGTCCTCTGTAGAATCTCTGTGAACAGCCTGTAACCAGGAACACTACATTCAGAGAGCCGGCTATGCAAACATCATTACAGCTGTCTTTCAAGCATAGTTATCATACAGTAAACATGTACTCTTTCTTGCACTGAGTTCATACAGTTGTTTCAAAGACAAACTTAAAATAAAACACAGCTCACTCCTGCTTTCTCTCTCAATTTGAAACTAAGTATACACAAACTTGAAACAATTTAGTGTAAAAATAGCTCAAATTACATGACATTCACACAACAGCACTTAGGATCATCACACTTAACAAAGAAAGATAAAACTTTTCAATATTCTCTGAGCTTTGATGAACTGTTTTAAGTGATGAGATGACTGAACACTTTTGTATCAAATTCAAAACATCATTCAGCTCCTGAATGGTTTGTTTTCCCGTTGTTCCCATGAGAACTTTTCTATTTTCTCCTCACAAACTGCATGTAATTAACTGCATGCTACCATTGTGAAGTGAGAAAATTAAACTTTCCCTATGGTACAACATTGGAAGCTGCTAGGGGTTTAAACCCAGTTTCTATGTCAAAAAGCCTGACCACACAGGCCAACATATGGACCAGGGAACTGCAGATATGTGACCCGCAAGTAGGTCTGAACTTACACAAGGATTGACAGGGGACATTTACACATCTTATTTGGAACATCTACAAACTCGTGGTACACAAGGCCAGGGACTTACCCATCAATAATCAGGTCATCAAAGGGCGCCTTAGAATCACAGACAGGACATATCCATGTAGGTTTCCTGTAGACAGAAGTGGACATGGCTGAATGAAGGACAACAATAGTCTCCAAAATAATGGTGGGTACAGTAAGAACACTTGAACAACACGTACTGGAATCAATAGCAGTAACAAGTCACTGTAACAAATACATACACAACAGAATTTAGGAAGAAAACACAGTAATTCAGCTGGTCAACAAAATTCTACTTTTTCTCAGGTAGAACATTATTCATGATCATTAATTCATTAAAACATTTTTCTTCTTGTGCATTAACTATCAGATATTTACCATAAAAATTTAAACCCAGGCAAATTTCTGAAGCTAACATTCTATGTTGAGTATATACATATTGTAGACAAGTGGATCACTTCCACAGGTTAAATGGATAAGACACTTACTTCTCATTCATTTGAAGGTACAGTGAAGCATCAAAGCACTGAAGATGTGTGCAGTTTTTGGGTCTGCAGGGGATGGTCATTCTCATTTTGCCCAACTATAAAGAAAAAATCTGTTTTAAAGAACTCTGCTACAATACAAAAACATATACAAACATTCAAACCAGTTTCAGTCTCAGAAGGTAGGTAATATCAATATAATTCTTTAAATCCAGGGATTTCCTGGTACAACTAAAAGTAAATGACACAGAAAATCACACTTAAATTTACAAATTATCTTGACTGTTTAACAATAGAAACTGAGCTTCAAGCAACAAATCTCATCACAACTTACAGCTTTAATATAGGACAAACCTTTGATGTGTGAATGTAATCTATAGATTACTAGTAAACAGAGCAAACTGAAAGTAAAGCAACTGTTGTTACATAATTGCTATTAAGGTTACAGAATGTCTAGACTTACGGGACATAGCAAAGACACTCTTAGGCTTGTGGTGGCAATTTCACTGTCTGGATCATGCTGTAGCTTCTCTTTTACTGGAAAAAAACAGTTTTGTTAACAAATGAATTCCCCTATTACGTCTTTTCTATGATTTTTACAGATCTTTGCAATGGAACATTATTTTACCTTAAAGTACCAGTCTTTAGAATGTAGAATTTCCGTCAAATAAGACAAATTTATAAATTCAAACATTGAGCTGTCACACTTGTCAGTGGCACCTCAGTTTTACTCCAAGCAGAATTGAACATAAAAGGAGAGTTTTGAAAATCTTTAAACTAAAATCTGGTAACTGATACATTTTGTACCAGGGCATTTCCCTGGGCCATAACAAAGAACACTGTTTCTGACAAAATAAGTGTAACATTGTCCTATACTTTCCAATCAACAGTCCAGCCTAAACACTTCATATAAGCAAATTTTTCCACAATCATATATAATATTTGATTTAACCAATTATTGTCTTCCTTATTTCATATAAAATGTAAGATCAAAGTACATCACTGTTGTGATGTACTTTGGTTCTGGTTGTGGTGACAGGCTACTGTCAGTACTTACTCATGGCTCTGGAGTGGTCAGCGTTCCTGATGCCATGACCTCTCAGCCTGTTCAGGAGGATACTGGCTGACAGTTGCCGAACCAGATACACTGATACTGTGTAACCCTGCAGGTATACATATGTTAAGATAAATAATAATACAATGTATAAGAAATGCCTCTGCCCGAGGCACTGCAAAATAATAATAAAAAATCTTTCATAAACAATCAAAATCACACAGGACAGTATATACTAATTTTGGAATGAATAAAAATATGATATTTCATAGGTACAATATTCATGAACTTAATCACTTTTTCAGCATATTGCTTGAAAAAACTAGTAACCCTGTGTAAAATTTATTCATAACGATACCATGACACTACACAGTAAAGACATTTTAAAGCTTTTAAACTTTGTTATGCTAGATTGCAAGTCTACATATATAAAGAATTTCTTGAATGACATTAAACTGGAAATCAGTGGAAATTGTTTTAAAATTCCGTGTCAGTGAAAGGTTGGTTTGGCCAGTGGAACCCTGCTTTCCAAGTCAAACCAACACAACTATCCGCAGGCTGGTGCTGTGTCTGTACTGACCCTGCCGTACTCAGGAGCCCAGGAGATGTTGACGTGGTTGGGGACTGTGGGGGACATGCGGCACAGGTTAGTGATGTTGATTGGTCGACTGGGACGTTTCTGTTCAGCCCCTGCTTTCTGCTGTGGGATGTAACCCTGCAGGGAAGAAAACAGAAATACAATGACTTTCTAAGTCAAAATACACTGTTGTATTTCATTCAGGTATGTAGGGTTATACAGATTTCAGTGTTAAATGTGCCAGAAATTGAGAAAATTGAGAAGTTACTACATGTACTAACAACATCAATGGACTTTCATGATTTATGGTTTGTCGGTACCATAAACGTATTTAATTCTGGAAGTCAGGACACATCATGAAGAAAGAACTTACAGGGAGTGGACTGAGCTTGCTGTTGATCTTGACACAGATGCTGGGAGGGAAGTGGTCCTCCTGTTCACAGCTGGTCTCCAGCAGACAGAACCTCAGCTGCACCTGCACATTGTACTCTGGCTTCATACCTGGCCTGCAATCCCTGGTAGGAGTGGAGAGAGCATGAACATGAACAAAACTAAACAGGCATATCTTCAGAAGACAGAAGGACAATAAGCCATTTCAGTTCCTAGTGGGTATGTGCAGTTGCATAACAACTACACATGCCCACTAGAAACAGTGAAATGAATGACAGCAAAATAATCAGGGCTCAAAATACATTTTCTCTTTTACCTGAAATATTTTCACATTTTTCCAGTTGTTCATATATTTACTTGCAATCTGAAAATTCTTTTTGTAGGTGGGTTATGATATTAGTCATTCAAGTTGAATGGACAGTTGCACAGACTGAACATATCTGAATCTGTGTTTATTTACATGTACTTTGTCTCAACAGAAAGAAAATAAATAAATGAAACAAGAACCCTGACCAAATCCAGCATTTATAGTTTATCATATTCTTGCTTGAAATTTATTTACTCTCACATGGCCTTTCCTGGCTTGTCCCAATAAATCTAAAAAATATCTCTTTTCAAAACAGAACATTCACAGAATGATCAGCAGTGAAGGCTTTCAGCTGTTGTCACAACCATCTAAGCAAGCTAGGTTATCAAATTTAAAACTTGTCTTATCAGTGGCCTGCAGCTTGCCAGACTTCTGAAGAGGCTTGGCCTTGATAACTGTGATTTAAACCCTATCAGGACTGGAGATACTGGGCATGCAGGCACTTCTGTGCATCACCTTGATGAATTGATGTGTGCAGCTTGCTGGGGTGTCAGATGGAAAACAAAGTATGTCTCTTGAAACCTGCTGTTTCCTCTTGGCACTGCAATATAAGGGAAAGTTAGAGAACAATCATTTGTAAACAATGTTACAATGCAATGCAGTCTTTTACTAATCAATAATTTCACAAGAATACCGCAAACAGCTGGAGTAAAACATGTGTACATACAAGGTCAGGTTTGCTTATATCAGGATAATGAGTATGTAGTAGTTATGTCTGAGGAGATATCACATGTAACTCATGTTATTGTGAAGCTATATTGACTAAACAGCCATTGGATACAGTAAGTCCAGGGAGTCTCACGCAAGCATTATATTCTGCATACCTGTATGTCCCATTACTAGTATTTTATGTGCAATGCTATCAGCCCAGCCACAGAAGCCGTATAAAAGATAACCCCACACCTACCTAGACTTGTTGGTTTGATGAGTTCATCGATGATGTCATAGAAAGGCAGTCTCTTGAGTGTGACATCTGGGTGCACAGGAGGTAGATGTGGAGGCAGGCTGCTGCTTTGGATGTGGTTGGGGAAGAGTCGTTGTGCCTCTGCCTGGTGACTTATACTGGTCAGTGCGGCCTCTAAGGGGCTGGGGTTACTGTTTGAACTTGAGTGTGACAAATTACTGGGCTGGCTGGGGCTCAAGTTCACACGGCGCGGAAATCGCCTCCGGTACAGCTCCTTGATTTTCAACTGGATCGGCAGACTGCAACCGTTCCGAACCAGGCCGAGGGCGCGCGTCATGAGGTCCTGTTTCCGACCACTCTTGTTGCGGCCAGCGTATCCCAGCAACACTTGCAGTTCAGACACTCTGAAGGTCATGATCATATGCTGAAAAGACATGAAATATAATTTTAAAATAAATTAAAATCACTCTATACACCAATTGAGAGTCATAGACTCATACACAGTACTGGTACAGAATCATCTTTGCGCAAATTGCAGTCAACACAAAGCTGCGGTACATGAAAACACGCTTTTTCAAACATGCTTTCTTAAACAACTTTATATTCGCTACATACGAAAGGGGGTCTGCATGCTCTTTTCCGTAAGGCGTAGGCGGGCCTTTTTAATTTCCTGTAATTCGTAGCGAAGTTATTTTATTTACCGTAATTCGTAGTGAGAAGGCGAAAATTTCCCGTAAAGCGTAGCCAGCGCATTTCACGTAAAGCGTAATCGAGCCTAAAAATTCCCCGTAAATCGTAGTCTGGACTCCCATTTTTCGTAAGCCGTAGCGGACGAACCAGCAGCCAGCGGATGACCTGTTGGGTCAACGTCGTACCCAGGATTTCTATTGTCTAACTGGACACGAGAGCACCCATGACATCAGTGGAGTTCTGTGCTATTATTGGTCAGTATTGGCCGGGTGGCGGAAGCACATCTGGAGTCAATCTCAGTCGCATCTTCATCTGCTTCATCTTGTCTGTCCCTTTCTTGCCTGTCCCATCTGTGTCCATGTGTGCGGTACAATCCCACCATGGCTCACGCGATGTCCGTGATTGTGCACATTTTATCGCATATGGGGCCGATTCTGACGTTTCAAGACAGCGAAGTGACTACTGTGAGTCAGTTGATAAACAAAATAGACGAACAACTCGGGATGAAGGAGGCAGAATTTAGCGTAAAGCGTTGCCGGCCTCCCGGAATTTAACGTAAACCGTTGCGAGCCTCCATAAATTTAGCGTAAAGCGTAATCTGGACCCCCCATGCAGACCCTCACGAAAGGTGGAAGTACTTTCTAGTAATCCAAACATTGGTACACGTAGAAAAAAAAAAGATTTTCATTGACGTCATAACAATATAAAGTGAAGATTTAACGATGTCAGAATATCACAACATACTCGTACATTTCACCTGAATGGATTTTACAGCTTACTTACTTTAGCAGGGGTTTAGACAAATGTATCACTATTTTACCTCTAAAAAAAACATACATGCAGTTTGACCTTTAACCTTTTACATTACATCATTTTCCTAAATTCAAGATACAGTTACGTATTCACATTATATTATCAGATTATTCAGATCTTTACTCAAACAACATTTAGATAATGACAAGGTTTGAATTGTGCCATATTTGACATGCTGTTAGGTATGTGTATCATATGACACTGTACCCTGGGTTCAAACTTCAATGTTTAAAATTCTACTATTGCAGTTAGTAAATTAATGATTGTCAAGCTCTATGCTTGAGGCTCTTGCATCATCATTCACCACTTAGTTAAAAGCGCTTTAATATGAATACATTTTTCACCATACAAACAAACACACAAAATTGCCAGCTCAACAGACAATTTGCCTTTCAGTTTCACTAAAATTTTCAGTGTGTCAAATTACAAAAATCAATGTTTGAAAATGTTCTTACTCTTACTTAGTACAGCAGTACCATTTTGGAAAGATAGTACTATTACATTTTGGATCTTGTTAAATTATTTAATTGCTGTGTTCTTAAAGAATGCAAGGCATGTCAGGGCGCTATACTGGTCATATGTCACTCTAGTGTCACAGGCTGGTCTTATCATGGGCTAGTGGAGGTTACATGTAGGTGCAGGGGCACAACAGAAATACCTGCTATTTCACCTGCATAAGCAGGAGACATTTCAAAACCTGCAGCAGAAAAATGATTCAGACATACAACTTCCTATGCCTGGCAGTAACTGCAAGATTTAGAATAACTTATCCTTGAAATGCACTTGAAATGTCATGTAGTCATGCTGTGTTGTGTCAATTACACATGCTACATGTGTTGATGGCTATTAGATATGGCACGTCAGGGTGATGCATCCTTGTAAAACAACGGCAGTAATGACAGAGGACACTCAAGGTCAAACTTTGACCTTCACACACTACTGTAGGGCTAACAATCCATTGGTTACCTTACAGTATTTGATGGAAAGACGCTATTGTAAATTCAATTAAGTTAATGCCATTAACATGTAAATTTCATGGCAATGAAAATCAGTTCACTTCTTGTAACACAATGGAAGATAGACCATATGTTTATTTACGGTCGGGTGTAATAAATTAATGCCAACAGGTCACCACAAAAACTGTGAAATCTGCTTGTGTAAAACACAAAATTTACAGTACCTATGTTCTTGTATTATACATGTAACTATTGTAAGCTTCTACAAATATTGCCAAAGAAAAGATGGTCTGCTAAGTTGAGACTCCACAAACCAGAGTTACTTTCTCAAAATACGCAAAATATTTTTAAAATGCTCAAGCTGAGTTTGTTTGCTTATTCGCAGTTTGCAAAGTGGAAAAAACAATAAAACAGGTGCAGTTGTGCAGTTAATAATGAGTTGACTTATACCTTAACTTTCTTGGGTTTGAATACATCAACAACTACACAGTACAGTACACATCTCGAATAACTTCTCTTTGCATGCATTTTCAACACATGTAAAATCCATGTAAAACACATTCAAAAGTTAAAACACATTTGAAATTTACATGTAAAAGTCACTCACTAAATGGTGATTGTAACCATGGTAGAGATAAAATCTTCACCTTCTTTAATTCTTAGCTACAACTTGTGTCCCCAATTACTAGTACTCTTTGAGTTAGAGAGCCCAACACATATTATTATAGTCTAGAGAGGAGTATGGGTGACCTAGTATGCTTAGTTAAAATGGGGACATAATTACAGTATAATGCATTCTGTCCCTTTACTTGATGACCTGTTAAATGTTTGTTTTTGTTAAATGTTTTTGTCTTGACATACAGATTTTCATGCAATGCTCAAGTCTGAAGAGTTATCATTGTCCAATTCGGTGGGTTGCTTTCATGTAACAGGTAAATGAGAAACTCCCAATATTTTATATAAAATACCCAGGGCAAGCAGGGAGGTTTCATGAGGTACAGTATTCATTCGTTCTGTGACCTGAAGATTTGACCCCATGCTGTAGGGCTGACCCTATGGGTGCCCATTTGATTAGCCAAGAATCATACATTCAAACCTACAAAAATATAGGTCATAGATTTATAACAGCCGCAAGCCTACTCCCAGCAAGTGAAATGTACAGTGCACAGTGTATAATTTCGGTTTACGTAACATCCGGATGCGTCTTTTCCCAGAAAACTAGATGGGAAACATCCTGCATTTTGCCTGCCAATTGAAAATGTTGTGTAACATTGAATAATTTGACGAAAACACGAGTCGTAGATAATAAATTAACAGTATAAGAGTACACGGAATGTCGTCCCCCTAAAAAGCAAAACAAAGGCGGGAAGACACAAAATATTTTATCACCTGGATGGGGTAAAACGTAAAGGTTTCAAATTTTGAAGATGGGTTAATATTACAGACAGCAAAATTGATTGCTTACCAAACCTACTGTTAATTTTTCAAGTTTGCAAGACTAGGAATGCACATTTGACTAGTTAAAAGGGGAAAATGAAGCTCAAGTACCTTCAACTCCGCAGCGTCCATTTCCCCATCCGCCATTTTATCGAATGGGAGCCTGTGAAACGTTTTCTCTTGTCGTCCTCAAAAAAATTACTGACGATTTTCCCACACAGTTTCCGGCCCAAAACTCGTTACGACAGAACTATAACACCACCTTTGAAGAGTCAATTTGGGGAAGTCTTACTTTGTAGCTTAAGAAATACTTAGATCATTTTAGGGGAACTACAAAATGACTCATAATTTCCGCACGTCCACTCCAAATTCGCAAATGAAACTTCCTCCGAGGCGATCACGTGTGTTCACGCGAGAAATTGTGATAACAGAAACTGTTGCATTTTTTTTACACAATTATCAAATAAACTAGATATAATCCAACTAATACGCATTTAAAATAAATAATTTCATACATGGTATATATAAATTTACAGTTTTTCTCGGTCATCAATACTTTTTGTTGAAAAATTTGAATAAGGTTAAAGGTCATTTGCAGTCGTCAGTGGAATGCTTTGGCAGAGCGAAAATTGAAAACCCACTACAAAGATGACGGAATTGAGCTATCAGGCGCTGAAAACTGCCAATCAAGCCAGAGAGGCGGTAAGTATCGTTCATAAGGAACAAGTAACTAATGTTGATAATTGATTTGTCGAAGCAAGGATGTTTTCAAATCAGTAAAACCGTTTGTTGTCTTACCAAAGGGGAGGGGCATGGCACTGCACTGAATATGGTTGCCATGGTTTTGACGCCAAAGAGCAAAAGTCATAAGAAGGGTTCAAAATGTATCAGTGCGAAAACTATTCACTTAACAGTGTCTACCAGCACATACAGTTTAGTCACCTATGATAATTGCTGTTTTTCAGTTGTGCAAGAGTAGTTTTCAAAAAGATGTTGCCGCTAAATTTTATTGCATACGGAACGTTAACTGTTTATGTGTAATGTGTATGTAGCATTTATAAATTTTAGCTTTGAAATTAATGATCATTAACTTTACCAACAACTAGAAGCTAGACTTTTCCGTAACAAAACTGCATCATAATTTGTAACTTGGTTGGTCACAATTTAAAATGATTTTCATGCAAATAATTTGCTTCGAATCATGTGCATATGTTCTTATTCTGACTCTTCTACTCATAACATTGACATAATTAGTGATCATGTTAGCTGCATTCACTAAAATTGGTCTATTTACAGTGAAAAATAGGTTATAACAACAGAGTCAGAATGGTTTTCAGTGTTGCGTTTTGAAAGCTTCTAACTTTGAATAACTTCAATAAGAGGATTTAGGGGGTAAAAGCAAGAGACCCGTAGTGATGACATATAAATGTTGACTAAATACACAAAGTTATATTTTGTACTTTCAAACTCTGTGTCAAGAATGTATTTCAAAAGCACATGTATGACAGACAAATGTGAACCAAATAGTTTCTATCATTGTGTTTGGAATTTCCCCTATTGTTGCTCAAAAGCCCAGGATAAGTGATGTCATGCCCCGTGTGCAGGATAAAATGTTGTTTATTGGTTACCTAGCTTGTAGCCTGGCATCAAATACTAGTAGTCTGGCACCTGCTAACAGAGAAATGAGTTGCATTTGAATGTCTACCATATAGAATATCTGCAAGACCCGCTTTGCTCCAGACTTTGCATTGTCATATTGATGTTGCAAACGCCATTAAGCTTTTGTTTTAAATTTTTAACAACTGAAACTTCTTCATAAACTAAAACATTAATAACATTGACTTCCATTGGTATTGCCCAGTTATTCTCTGTCTTTGTCACATAATTGCTTTAAAATTTGTATTTATACAAATATGTCATGTACATGTGTGTATGCTGTGTGTATTCACAGCATTTTGTGATGCAAGATTTGGTATACTGTTATTTAGCTAAAGTTCCATTATATATATATTCATGATACCCACACTAGATTTTGTAATGTGCAATGTTGCAACATATACAAGTTACTAGCACTTCTATTTTTACATGCAATCACATTTTTTCTTAATTGCAGGTTGCAGGTGGGTATTTCTAGCCCTGATGTACATGTAATTTATATTTTCTTAATGGAGACACCTCTTTTTAAAAGAATTAAGTCATTCTATACATCTCTGAGAGTAAGACAGGTGCTTACTTGTAACTCTTGCATCTTTGGCAGAAATATTATGTTCAAAAGTAGATATGGAATTTTCAGTTGCCTGTACCTTACGTCACTTTAGGGTACGTTTAATCCAAAAACTAGGATTAGGAAATTAGCTGGAGCCCTGGAGCCCACTCATGAGTACAGATTTTGCCCGTGTCCATGTAAATCAGGAGTCTTCATTGCATTTGCACATTTCTATATACAATGTACATGTATATGCAAGGATTAACTGAAAGACATGTACTAATGTTGGTGTGTTTCCATTCCTTACTTATGTACAGGCTCTCCTCATAGCAGCTTATCATGCTAGCTAGTTGTGATGAGGACTAGTACAATATACAGTGTATACATTAAGGGCTCAAATTGCTTTAGTTGCAAAGAAATTTTACTACAAATACTGCAAGCCTCAATTTGCAGGTTGCAGGTGTCTACTTTGACTTTGAACCCTGAATACTCAACATATATCAGTACCACTGTACAGTTTGGGTATACTAGTGTAGCCTAACCAATGGGTAACCCTACACTGGGTCTAAATACTGCCCCATGTAACATTAGAAGGCAGGGCCTGGTTCAGAAAGGCTGCTGCTATTGTGTCCATTCTTTGCCTGAAGCACAAAGTACCTCCTGGTTATTGTTTGGCTGTTTGGTAGAGACTTTTTACTGTTCTTGGGCAAAAAATGTTCCAGAGCTTGTGCTCTTTTTGCAGTAAATGTGTTGCTACCTTGTTATATATTTTAACATGACACAGCATTGATTTGCCATATTCTATATTGTAAAAAGTAATAACTTTATAAGTCAGTGGTTTGAATAGAATAAATAGACAGTGTATAAGCTACTAGTACTAGTAAATATAATGATTGACATAACCTGGTCATATGCAATATAGGATTAAGTTAAACACATTCAATTCTTTTATTCATTCAAGTAAAGTCTGATTTTTATATTCATGAGTCATGATAAATTGGACTTTTTGTTTCATACATGTACATTCAATTTTTGCAGAAATGGAATCATTGTACTCAGTCCAGTACCTTAGGACTTGAATGGGTGGCCTGGGAGACTAGGCAAAGCTAAATGTTATAAAACTATTGTATCATTGTCAAAGTCAGCTGGTAAGTTCTCAAAAATCAGTAAAGAACACTTTTGCTTTGCAGTGAGTTACCTTTCATGACAATCCATATATTCCAGAAATTGAAGGCAGTGTTATGTTTATTTTTTTTATTTTTAGATATGCATCCATGAAAACATGAAATTGTATTGAATAGATTGATATCGTAGCTAAACTGCTCGTTTTACACTTAGTGACATGAGTCCATAAATGTAAATGATTCCTTCTCAATTTCTGCTAGTTGTTTATATAAAACAAGAAGTGGTCATTTTTCGAGGTCAGCTATTGTGTTCTGTATTGATCATTCTACATTTTCAGTATCCTTTCTATGCCTTGTAGCCATTTTGACACAAATTCCTCGCAGCGTGCCTTAGTTACAACATGTACGCCGTGTAGGTGCCACAGCTGAGACGTGTTCGGTTGCTATGGGGATCTGAGTGTTTATCATAATTAGCTTAACTCTTGCAACAACCTTTGTTTAGGCGAGGACGTTTTAAATCACACAGGACAAACGCTCCGTGATCCAAGACGGCGAACCTGTTGTTTGCTAATAAGCAGTGAGAATGATAACGTAAAGAATGCTTGGTCGACCCGCGCACGCCATGGAGCAATGGAGGCAGGGCCTTTTGCAGAGGAAATCGGATTTACATGTTTAAACCTGTGGACATTGGCTGGAAGTGGGTTTAACAATGCCAACCATGTTAGCTGCTTATAGACTAAAGCAGCTGAAAGAACAGGTGATACTAGTGTGAGATAATTAAGCTAATTACTATAGCCATAAACAAATGGCAGCCATTGTAAATGTAGTTACATACTAACATAGTGATATACATGTATAATGATATAGAGCCTATTTCTTACACATTATGTGCATGCAAGGTTGCTGCCTTGCAAAGTGTACATGGTGTACATAACAATTAAGCAGGTGACAAGCAGTTGACAAAGATTCAGGGATTTTGTCAGGTCTTTTGATATGCATGGATAGGACTGTAAATACTGAGTGTATAATTTGTGTACCCAAAATTTTATGGGCTGCAGAACAGGCTGCAGGTGATCCTTGTGTTTCAACTGGTTTTTAATCAAAGCAGGTTGCAGGTAGACAATTAGAAATACCTTCACAGCTCCAATGTTACCTGCACTAACCTACATGTGCATTATTTTGGTAAATACAAGCTGGATTCACTTTGAATCTCGGTGTATTGTACATGTACATATTGTGCCTGTAATTCTCCCTTTTCATGAGAGATCTGACCTTGTTTCAGGATGAACAGAGAGTGGAGTCCAGAAGAAGAAACCTGCTTCTTCTCATATTGCATTATTTAAATAGTGAAGGGTAAGTGACATACATATTAACCTTTCAAATTAAATATTCTATTCAAGCTTTTTCTGTTGTCTTGTATTGGCTGAAGGTAGGGACAGGGCCGGCTATACATGTATGTTATACATATAATTGTTACCAATGTAAACAAGGCAGATTTGAATTATTGATTGTCATACCAACTAAATGCCATCCATCATACACATTATTCTTGTCATTTATTAATGTTGCTCTTTTTGTACCTCCACCTACTTGTGATACCGATAACAATCTAACAATGATATTAAATTTTTTTTTCTCCAGGTATCTAGAATCAGTCAAGTCACTGGAACATGAAACTAACCTAAGTCTGAGGAAGTTTGAAGTGTGTGACAACATAGACCTGGAGACTATATTACAGGAATATGAGTCGTACTTCTACATCAAGTTCCAGAAGTATCCAAAGATCACCAAGAAACTTGCTTCAAGTGGTAAGTCTTAAGTGTAATCTCAAAAATTTCACGTTCATCAATCATATCTCAGTGGGTCAAACATATGTCACATTTTGTTGTATTAAATGGAAAGCTTGTTTACTGCCTTGTAGAAGATGACACTATGACTGATTTTGTGGGTCGTCCAAAGAAAGGGAAAACATTTCCCAGCCGTTGTCAGGAATCATGTTGACAGGCAAATTTCTGCACTTTTTTGTGACCCACTCACATAAGCAGCCCTGGTACTCGACTCATGAACCTGGTCATAGCAAATAGGATATCATTGGCTCAGTCTGTCATGCCTGTCATGCGTTGCTGGTAACTCATTAAGCATGTACTGTTATAGTATCTTTCTTTGCTCCAACTTTTGTTTGACCTTCATCTCTTCTTCCTTTTATAAATGTTTTCCATACAGTCTGTTGCTAGGATAACATTTGCAATCAAACTTTGATTGACAACTTTTATACACATGTATGAAGAGGAAAGTCCTTTGCAAGTTTGTATTGTTAATCTGTGTAATTTACTGCCACAAAAGACAGGTTTTTGAGGGCACCACACCCTCACTCAGCCGCGAAAGAATGGAGTTTGAAACTAAATTGCACAAGACAAAATATGGTTGCACTGTGCAACTGGGCAACCAAATATTTAGACTGAGTCTCAGTGAAAATAATAAATCAACAATTTCCCTTTCTTTTTCAGCTGATAGTGCAAATTCTAGAGTAGGTAGAGGAGGCAAGTTAAGGAGGTAAGTCTAAATTGTAGAGTAAAAATGCATTTATTAAAACATGTTAGAATGTTGGCAGAAGTAATGTACCTCCCCCATGTGAACAAGTAGTAGTTTTTGTAATTTTCAGAAGTGTGAACTTGTTTATTGTATTTATATTGCACTTTTCCAACTGTAAGATTCATATCCTGTGTTATTAACAGTGTAGATGATGAGAATTTTGGGTGGTGAGTTCAGTGTTGTAGCTGTGTGTTGTGGGTGGTAGATAGACTAACGGTGGTGGTGTATCTTGTTTCAACCCTCCCCAATAGATCAGGCAGCACTGTGTCCCTTCCCAGAATACCTTTGGACAGGGATAACACAGAAGACACGGGGAAGAAAGAGACGGCCTCACCCAAAAGGAGCAAGCCCAGCTCTGGGACCAGGAAACCACCGGCTGCTGCAAACAAGAAGGGTGTCGCCAAAGACTCCAAACAGGTCTGCATAAGTTTAGCATTTATATTTTTTGTATCATTATGAAACAAGCTAGGTAGCTGCAGACTGCCATGTTGGTGCCATGTTTGCCAACTGCATTGTGCCTGATTCTCCCAGCAGGCAATGGGATCTGTTTAAAAGTCCCTGGTCATTATTTATTTATGAACTTGACCAGTTTTGCATTGCTTCAGCAGGATGCTCCAGTGGGAGACTCCTCAGATCTTGGTCTGACTGTGTCTGCTGCTCCTACCTCCAATGGTACCATAGGGTCAGACAAGGAGAAACCTCACCATGAACACGGCAGGGTGGGTATTTGTTGTAGTCTCACCAAGAGTAAAGCAAATATGTATGTTGATTTCATGGATACTATTATATTGCGTAATATGTAGTAGTCTACAAGGATACAATGTGCACTTGAATTGAAGACAATTAAGCATTCTCACAACTGATTTATCATTTTCTCTTAGCCATGAACTAAGAAAAAGGCATCAAATCATAAAGCTCCTAAACTAACTGAAAGTGCAGAAAAGAGAAGGCAGTTCTAATGCCTGTTGTTGTTTACAGAAACAAGTTATTGACATGCGGTCAATGCTTCAAGATGCTATCAAGGGGGCCTCCAGGGAGATCAACATGAACAGCTATGATGCTTCTTCAGTAAGTCTGGCTAAACATCAGTGATTTATTACATATGGTTGTTTCACATGAGTCATTGCCTTGGGTCAGACCAATTTGATTTACTGGTTCTTCATTTTTTAAGAAAATGATAGAGATTGCAGGCAAGAGAAAAAAATGGCATCCCCAGGAGCCACAGAGTAAACATACCAGGCTATGCTTCAAATGATGAATTTTCAACTTTATGGAAACAATTTGTTTTTCAGGACCGTCTGTTGAAACCATTAGGTGGCTATGTAGGATACAACAGTGAATGGAGAGAACTGGCACAGACTATCAGTAGGGTAAGTACAGGAAGATCAATTATATACACTATCCATCCATACAGAACATACCTCTCCTTGGTGCTGAATGCTATCCATCCATACAAAACAGATCTGTCCTTGGTACTGAACACTTCCATACATATAGAACAGATCTGTCCTTGGTTCTGAACATAATCCATCCATATAGAACAGATCTGTCCTTGGTTCGGAATACTATCCATCCATACAGAACAGATCTGTCCTTGGTGCTGAACACTATAAATCCATATGGAACAGACATGTCCTTGGTGCTGAACACTATCCATACATATAGAACAGTCATATGTTGGGGCTAAACGTTATCCATATATACGGAACATAATTTTCTATAGTTTTGGATTTCAGATGTTATAGAAGTTTGTGATTGTCATTTGTTTAATTTTGGCTGTGATGTTTGCAGGACATTTACCTTAACAATCCTAATGTGAGATGGGATGACATCATTGGCCTGGATGCTGCTAAAAGACTTGTTAAAGAATCAGTTGTGTATCCTATCAAGGTATGGTCTATTTTCTATCACATTCTTGTAAGCTAACTGTTTCAATTTTGAAATTTTCGTCCCTTTATAACTATATGTATTGCTTTACAAGTAATATCCTCTCTGTTGTTTTACAGTACCCACAGCTGTTCACTGGTATCCTGTCCCCTTGGAAAGGATTATTATTATATGGACCACCAGGTGAGCTATATTCAATCTTCAACAATCATATTGGCTGGCATTTGATTTCTCTATGATAAAGATTATGATGGCAAAATCCATCAATTTGTTTGTTTCTTTTACTGACACTTGTACAGCTCATGTAAGTCCTCATTTACATCCATATCACATTCTAATACTTAGATACAATATTTCCTTGTATGCATTTTGAAATACTTTTCCTTGATATTAGGAAAATTAAACCATTTATTTGCTTAATTGTGAAAATGCCCTCTGTACATGTATTTTGTTCCTTGTAGGTACTGGCAAGACGTTGCTGGCCAAAGCTGTAGCAACAGAGTGCAATACAACATTCTTCAACATCTCAGCATCCAGTATTGTCAGCAAATGGAGAGGAGACTCTGAGAAACTAGTTAGAGTAAGGGATGAAACCATTTTCATCTTTCACTTCTGAAACTAGCTGATCAGCGTGGCTGTATCTAGTCAGTGTGTACATTTTGCCAATTTCTGTAGATTGAGAAATATCCGGTATTCATGGTCATTTTGTTTGCGCAGGTACATGTAGTACCTCTGTTGTTCAGCTAAACCTGATTTGGTAATTTGAATTACATGTTTTAGTTTTTCATGAAAGAATGATTGTTGTGTGATTTTTCACAGGTATTGTTTGAGCTGGCCAGGTTCCATGCACCATCTACCATATTCCTGGATGAACTGGAGTCAGTGATGGGACAGAGAGGTTCAGGTCCCTCTGGGTAATTATATTATAATGATATTCTGTGCATAGATTCACCATTGACAAATAGAAATACAAAATAGTTTTTAATTTCCAGATACATGTAGTAATTGAGTGACTACAAGTGCTTTTTGCAGTTGGGACACCCTTCTGTCTTACAACACATTTTCTTGTACAAATGTACATGTATTGGCAATGACTAATTCCTAGAAATATAGGACTTTGACAGACATGAAACAAGGCTCTTTGAAAGAATCACCTATAGATACAGTTGTCTGCAAAAAAATTGTCTATTGTATAAAATAATGAATTGATGACAAATAAGTCACTACCTTTGAGTGAATCTGGAGCTTACTTTCATTGATAGTTGCATATCAGTGACACTGAGGATTGGCAATATATTTGTACATTTGTAGTCAGCTGGTAATGTCTCACTTGTCTCTATGGGTTATCCTTAATTCTGCTATACAGAATATGGATGTCCTTGGAAAAGAAGCTGAGGTCCAGAGTCATTTAGAGCTGTAGTAACTTAGTGCTTATCCAGATGCCAACTTTAATGACAATATTGTTCCATACCGTGTGTTTCAGGAACGAGCACGAGGGAAGTCGTAGGATGAAGACAGAGCTGCTGGTACAGATGGACGGACTGGCCAAGTCTGATGATCTGGTCTTCCTACTGGCCGCTTCTAACTTACCCTGGTGGGTACTGTTCTTCTACATATTGCCTTCAACTATGGCCACATTTGAAATAATAACAGAAACACTGAATATTTTGCCAGCATTTACGATGTAAGTTCCAATATAAGCAAAACTCATGTCTTCAAATCAAATTGAATGTACTTACTTCTTATCCATGTGTACATGAGCCCTCTTATTTTGTGACTTCAGGCACTAAGACACTGCACTTTTTAAAGTATCAATTTATCATCATTTGTCACCAGTTATGTTTGTCTTTAAGATTGCCCTTTACCCATATATTCTAGGGAGCTTGATCATGCTATGTTGAGAAGACTGGAGAAACGTATCCTTGTAGATCTGCCCACCAAGGAAGCCAGACACGCCATGGTTCAGTTTCACCTGCCCAAAACTATCAACCAGGGCACAGGAGTGGAGATCACCACGGATCTCGACTACCAACATTTAGCTGATGTAAGAATAGAACATTTTCACACACTTTCTACATTAATGAAGAATATAGGTGCTGACTACCTTGTTGGAGTGTACAATTGCATTGCATGTTTATGTACAAGCATACACAGCATTTTAGTTGTGTGGTAGGCGAGGTGCTTTAAACAGATATAAAGTGTTTTTTGTGTATTAGTTTGCGTATTAAGTATCTGTTTGGATTGTGACTTATGATTTGCACCTACTATAAATAATTAATATCTGGTAAATGAAAGATATTGTTATGAAAGATGACTTTGTTCATCTGCTTAGATTGTAGTGTTGTTGATGTTATGTATTTTTTTAATGATTGTATTTTTCCCCCAGTGTATGGAAGGTTACTCAGGAGCTGACATCAGGCTGGTGTGTAAAGAAGCAGCCATGATGAAAGTCAGAAAAGTCTTTGATGTGCTGGAGAACCACGGACAAGGTACTCTTGGAACCATTTTCACTTTTTTTAAGGATGTAATGAAGTGTCATGGTGTGCTTTATGTGATGGCACTTAGCATTTAGACAAACCAACATTCTTAGCCTATGTAGAAAATGTACTGTAATAAACAGTTTGACAGGTGACTGATGAAGCCTGGGAACTCCTGACAGTTTTGCTCTGCCAAGAAGAGCATCCTTTTATTGTAACATCACTGTGTGGCTCTTTCTTATGCTGCAGGAAACCAGTCTCTCTGTAACTAAATATGTAAAGTTTAACCTAAATATTGTATACAGGCACTTGTGACAGTTATGTTCTGTTGAATTATTCATCTTCAGGTGACCACCTGCCAGAGTTGAAGATCGACCCCATCCTTACATCAGACGTGAAGCTGGCCCTGGCTCACACCAAGCCTTCTGCACGCACACTCAAAGACAAGTATGCTGCATGGCAAAGAGAGTATGAATCTGTATGATTGATTCTTTGTAACATCTTAGTTTTAAGGACAATAGCAACTGTTCAAAGCTATGATCACTATTCCAGTTGTATTTCAATCACATTGGATGGGAACATAATTTATGGTGACTTCTATTGATGGTTGTGCCATCTTGCAGCTGTGCATGTTACATATTATTAAGAGATTCCCACAGACAATAGGCGAGTTCAAGCTTCCACAGATCACAAAACTGTGCCTTTTCTGTCAACATTTGAATGTGTAGGTTGCATTTGAATATGCATAGTTAAGCGCAAAGTGCATTCTTATCAGACAATCATGTTCAAAGTACATTTTGTACATCCTAATGTGATCAGCAAGCAGTTTTTTTACAATCTGCAGAAATTTGAACTCGTCTATTGGCAGCAAGCTCTTAAAAGCAAATGCTTGACCCATGTCTATGGCTTTTTGACTGACTGGAATGGTATTCTTGGCAGTGCTTTTTATGTTTTGCAGTGCAAGATAGGCTGATGTGAGACTGAATGGTGCTGTACATATATGTATTATGGCAGATTTGTCACCTTTTTCTAGTGTTGCTTTATTACATGTATGTGTGGTGTTATTAGAGAGAGATGTTGTTGCCTAGCCCAGTACCCATCCTGTTCTCGCTCCAGCCTCTCCTCTGATTGCTTCCATGTCACATTGTCTGGTGTTAATGGAGAATCATTTGGCATTACGATAATTGCATCAAATAGATACAAGAACCCTGATTGGTTGTACAGTCTTCTCTATTACAGCATAGTAACGGTGATCAAGCATGAATTTGGAAGTGTAATCCCATTTACACTGCTTCTTAAATTATGATACTCAAAATAATTGATGATGTACATGTAATGTTTAAATGGGGACGATGCCAGACCGTTTGGCAGAGAAGTGATCACAGTGGGTAACTGGAGCCAAAAGAGGATGGCTAGTACTAGGAAAGTTGTTGCCATTACATGGGTTACAAAGTCACAGATGTGGCTAAACTATGCTGCTATATTGTTTTTATGTTGTAATAGCTAGCTGTCTAAAAGAAGTTTTGTTTTCTATTTAGTACACTATGTATTTTATCAGTTGTTGTTAAGTTTCAGTCATGCTGATAGCAAGTATTGGTATGTTGTCATTTTGAAAAATGCGTATCTTTTTTGTATGTGAAATTTAAATGCTTTTGTATTTGAATTACATACCAGATTTAGTGCATCTTTCAGGTGTTGATATAATCTGTTCACATGTAAAATTATTAGCACAGGACCATTAACATTCTAAGTAACGTTACATGTAAGCAGAAAGAATGTCTTACACGGTTTACTAGTAAGTTATATCTTTGTGGAGAAGAACTAAGAAGCAAGAAATGTGTAACAGTATATTATGTTTTGCTGGATGGGAATTTTTTATCATATAAATTGGTATGGGTTAACAAATGTATTATGTTAAGGATGCATCATCTATGTGGATAAACTTTTGAGGCCTATGTGATTTTGGAATTTTCGAGTCAATTACAAATTGACACAAGAAGTGCCTTCTACCATGTCTACACAAAAATCATCTCTCACCATGGTTTCATCTCTGACATCAGTGTTTTGTGTAGGTCAATAATTGTTTAGGACTGAAGAGGATGTCCTGTTTACTCATGTATGTTGAAAACAAACAAGAAGCCATAGGCGACAATTCTCCGTGAAGTTTTATATATTTCAACAAAATCCCAAGCGTCAACGCCAGACCTACTGTGCAGACATTATAATTAGGCAACGGTTAATACAATGAGGGCGCGTCACAAGCATAAAACATACAAAGAGCTAAATCCATTACTGCTCCCAGGGCGTGTAAAGATACTGTGCTTCAAGTTCTAACTTCATTTTAATTACACACACACAATCATTGCATTCACATAAAGATCGGACTATCATGGTCGTGTCTAGTAACAAAGACAGCCCCACCGTCTTACGGTGCCTGTACCTAATTAAGCGCGCCTGGAACAAGCCAAATTCCAGCAACAGTGGCGGTAAGCACCGCGAGTGTTACTACCGCCGGCCAGATAACCAGGATATCTGCTTACAGTACCTCTGCTACCAGACAACTGCCTAAACCTACGGTCTATTCCACAGGATTGTAAAAGTAGGGATGTTTCGAAAATAACCATTTACTCCAATATCAAAACAGCTACGGTAAAAATAAAAAGACGTGCATCATCCCGGACATAATGCAACACCACATGCGAAATTACACAGATATGCGACGTACGGCAGAATGCGTTTTGGCTGCGAACATCTTCCAAAAAACTTGGCATCTCTTAACCATGGGCAAAAACATCTGGAACCACTTATAAAAACCACCCCGTATCTGCATGAACTTTTACCTCCCCCCCCGCTATTCCAAACAACGCGTTTTTCTGGACCGTTCCAATTCGCCTCGTAATTGTAGGGGTGCGTCTGCGATATTACATTGACCGCGAAAGCAGCAACGGCAAAAATACACATTCGTGCATCAACACGGGCATGCCCGCAGACGGCGTATAAAATTGCGTGCCGATTACACGAAGAGAACCCAGCGTTTTGACTGCGAACATGAAAAATCAGCCGATTACAACACTCCGTCCGGAGGTCCTGACCTCCTTCACGGAGTAACAAATGCATTCCAAAACACGTGAACAAGTATGTATTCCGCTGTATGCTGACACCTTAGAAATTGTGTGGTTAGTCAGAATTAAGAGACTATTCAGCAGTTTTAACTTCAATCTTTAACATATCTGTTTTACAACATATGACAATCTTTGTTGGTTGTAAATTTAGAGCAATTTTGTTTGCAAGATTGTTATTATTGTACATATAGATATACTACTAGTAAGACTTCTGGCTGAGCCAGACCATTTTATATTGATTTGGAATTTTCACAGTTTTCATCCATTAAATAGAGCATAATTTATATTATGCTCAACACTATCACCTGAGATATTCTGTATGAATTGATGTAATCGTGTAACTACTGTGTTGGCAAGGGAATTTTGGCACCTGTTTTGTGTCTAGTCAACTCATTTTAAAGGGTAATGAATAATTTTTCTTTCAGTTTCTCCAGATTTTTGTTAGTTCAGTAATATATCTTGAACAATTTGCTGCGATAAAAAGGGCTCTGCTCCTGAGTCGTCGCCAAAAAAATCCCGACCTCGGCATTAATAATCTTACCTCAACTACAATGGAATAACCCATCTTTCCCAGCATTCATCAGAATCAACATGGTGGACGGATGAGAAAAATAATATTTTGATCGATAAGAATACGTCAATTGACAGTATTAGCCGACAACTGCAGATGGTAGGAAGATGCATGTATTTTTCTGGCATGAGGATAATGATACGTAATGAAAGAAAGCTTTCTGATTTATTTTTTCGTTGTATATATAGCTATGCTTGAGGGGAGGTCTATTTACGTTTTACTAGTAAGGGGGTGTGGTACAGTACGTATACAAACTGAACTAATTAGGTCATAAAAAATCACTGACAGGTTTGATCCATTCATTCACGGAAGGACTCATTCTCTTACTGATATTGTGGTAGAATCGTTTTGAGATGTGGCTCTCCCCAAAATGTCGCACACAACTGTCCTTGGGTAACCAAAGCCAGGTGCATTTTTCATCTTAGTCAAGTGAGAAAATTGATGTTGCACTTAACATCAATTTTCTCACAAGCTACATTGGGACCTGCAACCCTAACCGTCATGCCACATGTGATCTAACAGTGCTGTTGTGTATTTCCTGTAGGGTTGACTAGAGGCTATCCTTTAGAACATAACCACATCTCGAAAGTCAAGAATCCCCTAATATTATTCAGTCAGAATGGAGGACACTGAGAGCGTAGCGTGTTCTCACTGTGACACGCCGGTGCACAGACAGTGGTTAGTGGATCACGTGAAGGAGGAACTCCTGAGTGATACCTTGTCTCACCACTGCAGCCTTTGTTCAGACATTCTACAGACCCTGACTGACTTGCTGTGTGCCGTGCACCAGTACAGACACCTGAAAACACCTGTCATCAACATCACCTGCTCCAGGTGCTCTTTCAAGGCTGGCAGTGTGGAAACATTTGTGGAACATCTACAGATGTGGTGCGAAACAGAGAGGGATGGAATTAAACCTGGTCCATGTGCATCACCCACTCCTACTGAGCACACTGGCTATGCATATAGGGAATGCAATCTGCCAAACAATGATAGCAAAGAAGACAAGGGGGAGGGAGGTACTTGTGAGAAGACAGTTGGTACGAGGGATGAGAAGATGGGTGATTGGGATGGACAGCAGTTTCAGCAGATGATGAGCTTATTGTTGACAGATACATCAGGAAAGGGGCACTTAAGAAAGAGCCCTAAGCAAGATGTAGGACAATATAATAGCAAAGTGACCATTGACACAACTTCAGTTTGTGAGAACGATAAAAAAGAAACTGGTACCCAACAAGGTATGACATGGGTGGGATTTAAAGAACAAACTTCTTACCATGAAAACCAAGATGCCATTGGCCAACAATGTATTAACTGTGAAGGATATGATAAACAAATATCCAAATCATGTCAGAGAAGGGAAGAATGCCAAGAAGCAAGAGGATCTAGTAGATTGTTCCCACCTCACAAGACAGGAAAATGCAGAAGACTGAACTAAGCAGTGATTGTAATAAGGACCAATGCATTGCAGCAAACAGAAAGCAAAACAAGACCAAGAAAGTTCTCTTGAATTGTCATCTATGCAATCACTCGAGCCAGAGAAAGGACCAACTTGAGTCCCACATTCTTGAGACCCATGGAAAAGTGGAGTACAAGTGCTACAGTTGTACCTTCATTGCAAAAAGTCCCAGAAACCTACAACGACATCAGCTGATTCACCAAAGAATACATAAATGCAGGTACAAAATGTATATTCTACTGTCTCTTTAAGTTTAAACAACATAATTTCATTTTTCTGGCCTGGTTCTTGGATTTAAAAAAAAGGGCTGAAAAAAATATCAACATAACTACTAAGTTGGAAAAAGTTTGTACATGTACCTTGGTACACAAAGGTTTATGGAGTGAATATATTCATACACATAATTTTTAGGTATATCAGATGTAAGTTTATATCCTAGTCATTGTTTTCATCTTGCTGAATTTTTTAGAGTACAGTTTTCACAGATTCATGCCCATGTGCATTCATGAAAACAATTTTTTAAAATGTTAACGTGATGTGTGACCAAGTAATGCCATTATCTTTATACATTGTACAGGTACTGTGACTTTACTACACGCTGGCAGAACAGCCTGGTTCTACATGAGAGACGTCACACGGGTGAAGGTTTACTTCTTAATCTTAGCTAAGGCTCAAGGTTCATATGAATTAAAGCTCTGAACAGAATTTGAATATTCAGTGAAGCTAATTAATTACTTGATTAAGTCTGCACTCTGGATTTATAAATTGTTGCGATACATGTATTTTTTGACAGGAGAAGGCATGATGAAATGTGAACATTGTGACTACGTCACTCCTGACAAAGATGGCCTCCTCAGACATCAAATCAAACACATAGGTAAGACATAAGGAATACAAATATGTACATGTACCATACTTAATGTATGACTTCTTTTGTAAGACATGTTTGATATGAAATAACTTTTCATCTAGACTATAGTAGGTTTAAACTATAATTCTGGCACAATTGTACAATCCTGCTTCATAATTTGATTCTACCAACACAGATAGATGTTCAAAACTTTCCATTTACATGTTGTTATTGCCTTTCATTGCTTTGTTTATGAATAAAAGGTGTTGCAAAATGTTGACAGACCGCAACAAAACTGATCTTTTGTCCCCATACATCTACACAGGAAAAAAGCCGTTTGTATGTGGACACTGCAACAAGGCGTTTGCCCGCAAGTGTGAGCTGAAGCGTCACGAGCTTCGTCACGCCGGGATCAAGAGTGCCATGTGCCACATCTGTGGAGACACGTTCCAACAGAACCAGAGCCTGGTGCACCACATCCAGGCACAGCACCACGGCCTCAAGGTGTACAAGTGTGACCAGTGTCCATTTGAGAGTGGATACTATTCTTCTCTTTTGACACACAGGCGGGCCTATCACACAAGTTAGTGTTCTCCTTTTCCACATACTTCTCTCAGGATAATCTCAAATCACAGTCTGTAAGACAGCACATTAACCTATATATATAGTCCACTGTTCATTGCATGTTTCAAAAAGGGGATTTTTCTTGGTGCAATAAAGTAGTATACTCGTAGTATGCTGCTCAATCATATTGTCTGTCTTTCCTGTCACGGCCAGTAGAATATTAATTCAGTAGGGTAATCTGGTTTGTGATCACTTTTTACATGTACTTTGTAATGTATGTATTCTAAGTCAGTGATTTCATGCAAATATAAAGTTCCATCTACAAGTTTATTCGGTTTATATTCCTTTGGTCCTTTTTTATCTTACAGATGAAAAGCCGTATAGGTGTGAGTTTGAAGGCTGCAACTATGCGTCAGCCAGCACGTCACAACTTAGAGTACATAGGAGAAAACATACAGGTGAGTTCAGGTAAACATTCAGGTGTGGTTTCCCAATGGTAAGCTGCACTTCACCCTCTTGTCTTGAAGGTATGTATACGTTGAGATAATAGTCATCATAATAAAAAAAATTATGTTGTTGGCTATCAGGCTGTTGATTATTTTTCAATGGTTTCTTTACAGGAGAGAAGCCATTTAAGTGCACGATGTGTAACTATGCCTCTGCTGACAGTGCTGGACTGCGTAAACATGTGAGGAGACACTCCAACCTGCGGCCCTACAAGTGTAACATGTGTGACTTTGACACCAAGCACAGTTTCCTCCTCAGAAAACACAAAGAGACCGCACACAACGTCATGACCAACTGTAAATACAATCCGCGTCAGTGGTCTTCAATGGTCACCACAGATGTCAATTCTACAAAACAATAACAGAGTGCCAATGGATGTTTTTGATCAAGATTTAAAGACTTTAGAAAACCATGGGTAAAGTGCATTAATCCATTGCCACATGCATTGAAGGGAAAATGGCAGAACTTCATGCCTAGAGGCTGTTTTAGAATGTAAACAGGTTCTATGTTTTAAAAACAAGTACAAACACTCCATCCATCCAGTATGCATCCTGCTTAGAATAATAGGATATTTATTGTAATGACAACAATTAATCTCAGGTAAGTTGGCTGCTTATCCCAATGTTATCATGATGAAATGTATTTTGCCTGCACTATACTCCTTTAGTGATGATAAAGCACAAAGGCATTCAAATTCAGCTTTATTCATATTGGCATGACATGTTAAAACTTCAGAACATGAATTGAGCCAATATTTGACAACATATTGACTCATTCAGGGGAAAACTGCTGTCCTGAAGAATGTTCTGTAATGTTCTCAGTGTGGCTGTGTCACGCCTACTGGACAGCGAAGGCAGAGCGTCCTTAGGAATTCCGATGATCCTCAGACAGCGATGTTGTACAGCTTCCAACATGTCGGAAAGGTGCTTCGGTAGACCCACACACACACACACACGGGACTGGCATTGGATGTTAATCAGTTTATTATATTACACTGTAGCCAATGTCATTCTCAGAATATTTACATGCATAACAAGTAAATGAAGACATTTGAATAGATCTATTACTGCATATTGTATAAAACCATTGAACTCAGTCCAGGCACATTATTAATGTTATGACCCCATGGCAAGTCAGCACTCTACCCACTAAGCCATTACAAGAAGCTTTCTAGCTAAGTAGCTGGTTTAACCACTCTTCAACGTTTTCTTCATTTCCTTGCGGGTCTTTCTGCCAGTCCTTCCACCACCTCAGGTTTGCGATCTCTTCTTTGTACCGTGAACCAAGCTTCGCTTTCCACGCGGTAAAGGACTCCCTGTTGTATTTCTGCACTTCCCTGGTGACAGTTGGATAATCTACCAGCTCCTGCAGTTTTTTGTCCAGTTGTGAGACCAGATCTGGCCTGTCTTCGGCAAGATTATGGAGTTCATCTGGATCCTCCTCCAAATCTGCACCAAAAAAAGGAAATGTTTCAAACTATACCAGCTGCTACAAAAGTCCATAGTACCTATTAGACTTCATGATGCAAAATATTACATCTTATACATTATTGTATCAAAAGAATAGTAATATTATTCAATTAACATACACTTCTCACTTTTCTAACATTGCAAAATAATTGAACTGTACCTGTACCCTATACCGGAACAGAAAACATTGTACTTTGGAGTAGTATGGTCTTAAAAAAGTGCTCACCAAATAACTGTGGAGACACTTGATGTGGTCCATCACCAAATGCTACATACTTCAGACTGCCTGTCCTCAGCATGTAAGTGGACATGTTCACATTACAGCCATGGTACTGACTCAGCACCCAGTCAGGTCTGTCAGTGTTGTCCTTCAGCAGGGGCAGGAGACTTGTACCGTTGAGTCCAGGGGGCTTGGAAGCATTAGCTATATCTGGAGAACATGCCACAGTGCAAAACCATAAAAAGGAAAAGGTCTACTTTCCATATACACATGGATGAAGTGAAAAAAAAAGTTAAGTTTCTTTCCTAAGGACACAACCTTAGGACATCTGTATCCTATGTCTTCTAACCTAAGCTGCTATAAAGAAGTGATGCATCATGTCAAATTTGTTATAGCTTGACTCTTATATAATTATATGTATATCATGTACAGTAACATGAACCCACATTTTAAACATGATAAACAATTGCTCTGTTGTATACACAATATATAAAAGGGGTTATATATACAATATACACATACAATCACAGACAGCACATACCCATAAATGTGGGAAACACATCAACAAGCGATGTGAGGTCGTCCACCACCTTCCCAGCCGGCACGTCTGGACCTGTGAGGACCATGGGGACGTGAGCACTGGCCTCGTACATGGACATCTTGTAGAACTGACGATGCTCCATGGCGAGTTCCCCGTGGTCAGAGGTGAAGAACACGTAGGTAGAGTCGGCTTGTCCTGATGTTTTCAGGGCATCCAACACTTGCCCTGCAATTTGAAAGAAGATGCTGATTTGGTACAGAAGTAAAACATTAAGTGGTTCACATCTCAAGGACATGATTAACTGAAAACACCTCTGCTATTGCTGGTTTTTACTAATTAGCAGTTGGTGCATGCATAGGTATATTTATAGTCTGTAGAACCCTATAAAGAATGGTCCTCTCCTTGACCTTGGTGCTGAATGTGTAATCTGTAGAACACTAAAGAATGGTTCTTTCCTTGGTGTGTATGTGTAGTCTGAAACACAAAAATGAATGGTTCCTTGATGCTGAATGTATAGTCTGTAGAACCTTATAAAGAATGGTCCTCTCCTTGGTGCTGAATGTGTAGTCTGAAACACAAAAATGAATGGTTCCTTGATGCTGAATGTGTAGTCTGTAGAACCTTATAAAGAATGGTCCTCTCCTTGGTGCTGAATGTGTAGTCTGAAACACAAAAATGAATGGTTCCTTGATGCTGAATGTATAGTCTGTAGAACCTTATAAAGAATGGTCCTCTCCTTGGTGCTGAATGTGTAGTCTAAAACACTAAAGAATGGTTCTCTCCATGGTACTGACTGTGTAGTCTCCAAAGCACTTTAAAGAAAAAAGGGAAATTGACTTACCCAGCATTGCATCTGTTTCAGCACACATCCCGTAATAGTACTCCCTAATCTTCATGATGTCGTCCCTTGTGAAGTCACTGGTGCAGTTCTTGGTCGCTGAGGAATAGTAGTCAACAGGGTGCATCTGGGACAATGGCAGCCATTTAGGAATGGTGACCTTTGAACTGTTGACCTTCTCCAGCCAATAGGGTGAAGTCATGAAGGTTGAGCCGCCAAAGTTTTTTCCCATGGATGGGGTTGGGTAAGGGTGGGGGAGGTTCAGACCGAGGTACAACAGCCATGGTTTCTGCTGTTTGGGTGCATCATGGAGCAGCCATTTTGATGCCAAGTCTGTGCTAACCCAGTCTTTTACCTGGATTCTCACTGTTGAAGAGTCACCTGATTGAACAGAAAAAATGAGGTTAACATGCAGAGAGTAGGACAGACTTGATTTCACCAAAAAAGTTAACATCAACTTTGATGAGAAGTTGTCACAGACTCTAGCCTGCAATCTATTCCATCCTTGTTACCATGACTATGTGACTGGGAGCCAATCAAAGCTCTCACTTTTTACACATGTATCCAAATGCCAATCGTTCCTCTGGCTCTGTATTAACAGGTGAAAAAAGAAGTAGCAACCTGTAGCTTAAAAAGGATGGAGAGAGAACTTACCCACAAGCACTGGTGTGGGCCTACCCTCTTGTGCCAGGGTAAAGTTCACATTCCTTGTCCATGCTTCAACTCGATTGCTGTACAACACAAGAACAGATTTTTAGGATCTTTTTCTCTCAAGCAAAAAATGCCAACTGATTTATAACACTGTCTGCATTTTTTCCTGGCTGAAATTGTTGCTAAGTCCAGATACATTGGGAAAATATAGCATGATAACAATGAAAGTTGCAGACCCTTGATAAAACAATTCTTACCTTTCTGTATGGTGGCCTGAGACATAATCGGTTTTACCATACACCTGAGTGTGGTATCCCTGCTGTTCCAGTCTGACCTGCCAGGTGGGGTAGTTTCTAGGTAGCCCCTTGTAGTTGTTCCATGACTGTGTCACATGAGTGTGGAGACCGCTCCATAATGCTATCAAAGGCACAAACAAATTTCAGGATGCATCTCAATTGGCAACATTTGGCACCAAGTCACATGGTCCTCAGAAGTGGCAATACAACAGGGAACAAACAGGCATTCAGAAGTTCAATCTTCAATTCAAATTCCAGGATTCAAATTCTGTATCAAAAGAAGTTTTTTGTGGATTTCCTACTGTAAAGTTCTTATCTCCTATGTCCAGGACCATCCCCACATTTATGTAGACCCAAATGCAAAAGTAACTCCCAAGCCCCATACTATAAAGCTAGCCCCACTTCATGAACACTTTTCCTGACCTGATCTGGAAGGACAGCATATAGGTGAGTTGGTGTACGTGTTTTTGAAGTTGACACCATTCTGGACCATGTAGTTCAGGTTGGGTAGATCCACTATACTGTCCTTGCCTTGTCCTATCAATCTGCCATCCTAACAAAAACAAATAAAAAGCAATATCACAAGCCTATTATATAAATGGTTTCTGGGCATTTGTGTGTACACATTAGAACAATGGTTAAGTATCAACCTTGGGTGTCAAAGACCTCTTCACAGATTACAATTGCATGCTGGAATATCTGTGTACTATGAGCATCACAGTCAGGGCAAACAACATCATTACTATGACCCAACACTTGCATGCATACTATTTTATTTTATTTTATTTTATTCACATTTATTTTTCAAGGATTGGGCATGCATACTATGTTGTTGCCCATGTTATATCAAGTGCCCCATGTCTCCCAGCATCAATGGCTACATTTGGCTACAAAATTCCTTCAGCATCCATGGTCCAACCAACTTAAAATGTGGCATTAAAAATAACAATTAAGGGTTAATGTCCCGCCTCGAGGTGAATATGGTGTGATAAAGCCTTGGCAGTTGCTATAACCACCGAATAAAGCCACCGACGTGAGCGCAGCGAACGAGGTGGCTTTATGAGGTGGTTATAGCAACTAGCCAAG